GAATCAAACCAGTTGCCAAATGTGTGTAACGTATAGCCATGTGGCAGCCAAATAGGTACGCAAAAATCAACTTAAAGATAAGATTTAAATTCGCTCACGCGGCGCGACAAAATATTTCAATATCTAGCGTTGGGACTGTTGTAATCGTTGATTTTAAGACTTTAAAGCCCGTTGTTTTTAGTTGAGTATTCTGTTTGTTTACTCTTCGTTTGCGAGGTCTGCTAAAGTGTATTTTGCGCAAGAATGGGGCAAAAAGAAGGAAAATCACCTTGATGGTTTTAGCGTAAGCTCCGTCAAAATATTTCCATATCAATCTGTTGCAATCGTCAATTTTTGAACTTTGACTGTGAAGCCCTTTTCTTTCTAATTGAGTATTCTTACGCACATTTCTATGTAATCAAGCAACATTTTCGACCTTTGTACCACCCCTAAGGTATTTGAGCAGAAGGCAGTAATATGATGCTGGCGACATCAAAGGTAAACCTAGTAGGGGAGGCTCGCTATTCTCATCTTCAGTTTCCCCGCATCTCCTTTAGGAACCCATGGGACTATGAAGCAGATTTGGTCACCAAACGGGAAAAGAACGGCTTGCATTTTTAGACCCGAACTTATCTACGGGAGGTCGAGTAAAAATTCCGAATTTTTTGGTGACTTCGCATCTCGCTTTACATCGACGAAGATTGATTACGCATGAACATCTTGCCCTCGTAGGAACCTGGAACCGGGTTGGGCAAACCAACGTTTATCTGGACGCTAATATGAACAAATTCACGTATTGCATGGTTGAATGATCTACTAGTGGAGTTACGCTGAGAGTCATGAGAGAACTCATAGGTTAGCTAAACCATGTACAAAATACATCCTGCGAGCTGCCAGGATCTAATTTTTAAAATTGTTGAACGAGGAAAGGGTATATTATGAGATTGGTTCTCGAGTCAAAAATGACATGAAACATACTTCACCTGGAGGATTAGTGCAGTTCTTACTTCTCTTCTCGGCAGTCCCTACGCCTCCTCCTTGAAAGAAACAATTAAATGAATTTAATGAGACTGTACAAGTCAAGAGAAGAGTTGGGCGGGGGGAGAGGGGTGGGCGAGGAGTCTTTCATGCGCGACAGAATAGTGACGTTTGAATTCATTTGATTCGGCAGGTTTCCTCAGTGCAGCATATGACTTTACACGCGGTTGTTGATTTGCGGGCGAAATTTTCAAGCGCAGAGGCCGGCAAAGAAATTCAAATTAGGCTTATTATTTTCTTCTCTTGACCTAGGTCGTCTTCTTAAGCAGTTGACGCTTAAGTGGCGCTCGAAAGAACCTATCAAAGTAATAAAATCATGTCCAACACATGACAAGAGTGGCATGGTGTTTAACAAATATTTTCACTCAGCTAGAAACGTTATTCTTTTCCTGATACGAGTTATATTTGCGTTATGACATGAAAATTATTGCTTTGTATACGGACATTCGAAACCAGTCGACAATATGACATGAGTCATCAGACCATGAAACCATCTTTGCTGCCCCACCAACCCACCCCCTCCCCCCGTTATAAATTAATTGTTGGTTTTCCTTTTTTTTTTTCCTTTTTTTTTTTGTCAAAAGGTTCTAATGAAAAAAAAAAAACAGTCTCCACTTACCGGTAATAACGTTGTGTGTAAAGCATCCTATGAGGAGAATGATGCCAATTATAGACAAGGATGTAGTAAATGCCATCCTCAATGTATTCTGAAAGAAAAGCAATGAAAATGTACTCACCGTGGTTAGCTATGAATTATCAAAATACAGGCCGAGATTGATTAAAAAGGTCTGTCGTTATGAGACAATCTTGCGTAAAGTAATAACTTCAAAGCATATATGAAGGTCCGACTCCTTCTAATACACACCGCTTACTAACCGAGCTCCATCTTTTGAGCCCGCTCGCGTGCGGGCCATAAAATAGGGGATCCGTAACCCGGGGAGGTGGGGAGGTGGAACGCTTGGGTCAATTTTTTGTTGCGTTTGTGCCGCTAAGCCTCTCACAACCTCTACCCTATTATAGTCTATTTTGTGGCCAAATATAGACCCCATCCTAGTCACCTATAGGCAAATGTAATATTCGCAATCTAAACTTAGTCAAGAACGGAATGTAATGCCAACCGATTGTTAAATAACGCAACAACACCACGAAATACGCTATCCGAAGTTTACAGAACCGAGCGAGAAGCCTAAGTTTGAAAGAAATAAAACCTCTTCCGTGAATCTGACAAGTTCAGGTAACGCGTAATCCCTTCAAATGACTGACACACGTCCAAAGCTAATAGATATCCGCAAGATAGGTGTTCGTGCCCTTTGGAATTCCCTTGTTTTCTGCCGGCCACTTCAAGTCTTATTGTTATCGCTTCATTTATTCACCGTCTGTCAATCATTGCTCGTGTCATCATTTGCCTAGGGCCATTGACGGACGAGCAGTCAAAAATCAACGTCCAAGAAACACCAGTGATAGAATCAAAGAAGTAAAAACATCAACATTTGAATGAGTTGTATGGGATCCACGAAACTGTGCCTCTGGCTTCCTGAGTCCTTCGCCAATCGATAATATCCTGATGGGTCACACCACTAGCTAAGGTAAGGACGTATTTGTACCTCAAAAACGAGTGATGTATCACACACTGACGTCGACACATTGTTTTTATATGCTCAATGGGAACTGGCAGAGCTTACATCATGTCATAGTACTCAAGAAGTTTACTACATTTAAGATATGGAATCGGTGTAGTAGCTTATTTGCCAATTTTGTGATAGCGTAAAAAAGCATTTCATTCTTGTCTAAGACTTATCATAACAAGCCGACAGTTAAGCCTAACAGACAAACTTACCGCATTTACTGGATGATTCAACTCGTTGACACGCAGAGTAAAGGAAAAACTTACTTTATGCAATCAGATTTATATGAAACGTGAGGATTTCAGGCTTCCTTCAGCTTTGGTGATGACGCCACACTCTGTCAACTCCGGTCAAAAACTATCAGATGTCAGCACGGCATATCAGTCACGCCATTTCAGCACGATTCATGAGTCACGCCATCCCCAATGGAACAAAATGACATTTCGACTCCCAGAATGTGTGAATAAATTCACATTGCAGTTTTAAAACATCCTTAAGCAAAGGAATCAAGGGAATAGGAAAAATGATCAATAAGAAGATAATTTCTGAAAAGAAATTTTCTAGAAATGTATGACAGACGCCACTCTGATGAAACCGGAAGAGACTCTTGGGAGACAAATCTTACCCGCTTTCTAGGAAAGGGAAACTCTGTCGCAAATTTACTCATAAGTTGCGTAAAGGGGCGTAATACATGCCGATCATCAAATCGGAGACAAAAAAAAAACTCGGATTACCATTTGGCCAAATATTAAGAGTGGTAAGCACAGATATTGAATGAAATTTGCTTTTTACTGCGCTTTTGTGGAATGATAACAATATACTACCGTCATCGCTGAGATGATAAGAAAAATTAACACAATACTGACTGGGGGGAGATCATCCTGCTCAAATGAATGTCTCTGACAGTTAGTATTATTGTGAATGTCAACTTCGTCAATACAAGTGTGCTTTCAGCACCAAAGACAATCAAAAACAATTCCAACTTCCGAATTGAACCTTTTCAGGCGAGTTTTTAACTACTTGAAAAATACAGGGATGTAGATCGTTGTGCGATAGTTGGAAGGATAGATATAAAAAGACCTAAACCAGTTTTTTGTTTTTTTGCTTTTTTTTTTTTTAAGTATTGGTATCACGCATACACTAAGCCCCTTGTTTAAAAAAAGAAAGAAGGCAGTGACCCAGAGGAAATGTTTTTATTATGTGAATTAATCAATAGCCTCCCACAAAGAATAGATCCCTTCCCTGCTGAACATGAAATGTCCTTGATTGAAAAAGTACATTATGCAGGCGACTTGTTTCCTCGTAAATTACAAATTTCACAGAAATGAGTTCACCAAATCGATTTCTCCCAGAAAAGAAAACTGTATCGTTTAGCTACTTAGGAAGCTATACCAATGAAAGTGTTTCTAACGAAATGAAAGTAAAGTTTCATGTCAAGTCGGTATGATTAATTTTAGAACACAAAATTGAAAGAAAAAACATCGTGCAGTTAATAGCCTTTCATGGCTTCCACACCAATGTCCATTACTAATCCTACACCCTCAAATTACTGGTACCTTTTATAAACCGGTAACACTCAGACACCAAAAGAGCTGTATTATTTAAAATATTTCTAACGAAATAAAAGTTAGGTTACTTATTAAGTTATTATGACTTACTAAATGCTACGAAATTGAAAGACAAAGCATCGTGTTCCCAATGGCCTCTTAAACCGATTATCATAACAATCTATCTACCCTCAGTAAACTACTGCTACATATTATAAACGGTTGGAAAATATTTGAAAGCTTTCTCTCAAAAAAGACAAATTCACTGAAAGTAAAACAATAAACAATCCCCACAACTAGTCATGGCTTTACTCGTGTTAATCTAAAATAATAAATATTACAAACATTAAATGGCTATAAAACGGAGTGAAAATTTTCCAATGCTTGAGATAACTGACTATAACTACCTAAATTTTTTCGTAGGCTCATAGATTACCGCACCTCAACGATGCTAAGTTAGTTTCCCAGGTGGAAAAGTCTAGCGGTAGAACAAGTATTTAATATTTGAGGAATGACACACTCCAATGTGATAATCAAGGATTTTGACTTACCCCTCAATTGATGTTGCACATCGTAATTTGCTTCAAATTGATACCGAATGCCTTAGCAAGCAATAATAGATCATACGTGTCCTTAAACATCTAGACAGTCTGATCTACTGTGAAAACTAAATTTAAATATGATAAGATTGATAAACTTCTCCCTTCAAAGGAGAAATCCTCTGAAAGAAAAATCAGTGGAACTCGATGTGAAACGCAACTTTGTGAATCAGTTGATTGAAAATGAAATAAAATTTTCTACCACTGAAATCACTATAAATTACGTGCTAGCGATCAACTACACGCTTTGGATTAAGATGTAGTGTCACAAAAAGGCTTGTTCAGTTACTATTTTTCTGGCATTTTGTATATCAATACTCTAAATTTAACAATTTTTACTTAATCCATGTGGCTTTAGCACTTCATTGATACTGTTGAAAGAGACCAATTAGACTAGTCTGTACAATCTCCCCGATTACCGAAGCAATTTCACTTTCATTCTTCTTCAAAATCACTTCAGAAATATCATCAATACAGGCTGTCGTCATTTTTTGATTTCGTGCTGCAGTATTATAGTCATCTTGCACGAAGTGATGATTACACGATGTGACGCAGTCCTAGACCAATCAGTTTGCTTACTTTTCCTTAATAGCCTGGGTAATAATCTTACACCAAATAACACCAAGAATTAATCTTATATCACTAGTGAATAAAGTAACGAGATCCGAGCTTGGGTAACAAACTCGTCAACCCATTTTGGACTTAACAGGTGCTCCCCTCTTCATTAACTAATAGTAGTTAGGTCCAGACGAAGAATTGCTCGCCATATAGCTAGTACTGCTACTGTAGAATCGATTTGTGTTTGTTACTTCTGAGTTTTCTCCTGAATCAGCTGTGACGTCTTCAACCTGTTAAATATTTCATAAAGTTGACATTGGTAGTGATTAAGAAACTCTTATCACGTTTACTTATAGCTATTTTTAGTGTCTATGTTTTAAGATTAACATATAATTAAGAAAAGCATTTTGAGAGACAAAGGTCTCTATAAGCACCAGAGGTAACAGTCGTTTTGTTACACCCAACAGTTACATCTGGAAAAACGCACGTCACGAGAAACATGTTAGAGCGACCTTGTGCTTTCATAAACATCTGGTCAGTTAATTCAACCTTACCTCTGGCATAAGATCCGTTTTTCTTTCTTCCAAATCCAACAGCTTTTCTCCCATTTTCTCCAACTCTTTTTCAAGACGATCGTTGTTTGATTGAAACCTTAGGCCTGTTTGCTCAAGGATTCGGGTTTTGCCTTCGTTAGAGACCCTCGATAACTTTAGGAAAACGATAACATCGATTGATTAAAAACGCGTGTGGGAACCTTCCTTGTATAGTGTAACAGGGAAAATTATTGTTAATTAGTGTCTTCGGCTAGTAAATTTCTTCTCTCAAATCAATTTATAAACTTTAGGACTTCTGATTTGTTTCCTTTAAAATCTATGGAAATGAACTCAGCTTCTCGTCGACTCACTTTCACTCATCAATGCTCAGTTTGAGCTACGTCTCCCCACCTCTAACAGTGTTAAAAAGAGCGCAATTCGGCACTTTTTGATGAAGGTTTCCTAATAAACGCTCCTTCAGGGCTTTATTTGACTTTATAAATGACATTGCGACAATTTTACGTGTACTCACCCCTCTTTCTCCGCTATAAACTACAGGAAACTGTGAGGTCGAGGCAGTGGGTGTCATTTCTTGAGCAGTTTTCAAAACTGGACAATTCTTTCCACTCTCCCACTGTACAAGCTCATTGTTATAAAACTGAGCCTCTTTCGTGGCAATTTTCAGCTTTTCGTTTTTGTGTCGTAACTCTTGAAGTTCTCGCTCCAGGAGACTCAGTTCCCGTTGCCTAGGGCTTGACTGCTGCGTCTCACTCTTCAGTGAACTGACGTCTCTCCCGAGGCTATGCGCGATCATTTGTTGTTCCAATAAAGTTCGTTCAAGTCTGCTCTTGCCTTCCTGAAGTTCTAGTATTTCGCTTCGTAGGTTCGATAGGGTGTTCTCATAAATCTTCCTTTCGTCTTGTGATCTTTTGTAAAACTCCTGCTCCAAGAAAACCTTTAATTCTTGCGTGATCCTTTGAGTTCGTTGCTCTATTTCCATTTTCTCGTGCTTAAATTGATGTTCTAACTTGCTTTTCTCCTTCTTAAAGTTCTCCTCTGCTTCTACGATCTTCCTTTCTGCTTTCACTAGTTTTTCTTTAAGCCCAGTCATAGTTGCGTCTGCCGATCGTTGGTTAGCTTGAGCTGCCTGTCTGTACTCTTCTCGGAGTCGGGCCATCAATTCTTGCTTTCCCTTTTCGACTTTGTTTCTCCATTCCGCCATTTCTGTTTCATACTTCTTCTCTAGCTCTCGTTTTTCTTTCTTAAAGGATTCGGAAAGAGAAGTCTTTTCCTCTCTCATCTTGGAAAGCTCCCTGGACATAGCTTCCAAGGTTACATTTAGCAATTCCTTTTCATGTTCCAATTTTCCGGACAGTTCATCTTTGTCCCTCTGGCTTTGCTTAAGCCACGCATCTTTTTCCCTTAACAACAATTCGTTTTGCATCTTCAATTTTCCTTCCGTCTCCAGTAACCGCTCCTTTTCTGCACGAAATTCATTCTCTAGTTTCTGGAAAGAATCTTTCAGTTGCCTTTCCCGATTGGATACTTCTTTTGTTATCTTGGCTTGATACTCAAGACTTATTTTCTCTTCAAATTCTTCTCTCTCGGTTTTGACTTTTGCCTCCATATCCAGTTTGTCTTTTTGCGAACGTTCTATGAGCTCTAGTCTGTGTTTTTCCTTGACTTCCCTCAACTCCGATTCTAGCTTATACTCTATCTTACGACGTTCTTCCGTGAAGCGATACGTCAGTTGTTCTTTGGTTCTTTCAATTGTCGTCTCTAGATCGTATATCTTCCTCTCCATCTCCGACTTTGCCCTTGTAAGTGTTTTTAATTCAGTTTTATACTTCTCCTCGCACTGAGTAAACCTCCTATTCTCGTCTTGAATTCTCTTGTTATAGTCTTCAATCAGCTGTTTCTTTTCCGCTAAGAATTCTTGCTGAAGATCATTCTTCTCCTTTTCCAGTTCCTTACGGGTCTTCTCTATTTCCTTACTGCTGACTTCTCTAAAGTACTGCTCGCGTTCATAACGAACTGTGTTGATCTCGTGCTTGTATGTTTGTTCAAGTTGACTTATTTTCCTCTCACAAATCTCTCTTTCGTTGGTTGCTTCTTCTTTCAGATCCTTCAGCTGTTTCTCATAACTCTCCTCTAAAGTTTTCTTTTCCTTTAGGAGCTTTTCTCTTTCATCTCGATGTCTATAGCTGGCATCTTCCAGTTTTCGTGTCCACTCTCTGTTCTTTTCCTCAAAAATGCGGGTCTTCTGCTGGAGCTCCTCCTTCAACGTCTCGTTCCTCTTCCTTTCACTTTCGTATTTCTCAAGTAAACCATGCAATTCAAAGTTAAAACGATCTTCGTCTCTCTTTTTCTCCTCGTTGACTGACTCGGCAGAGTCCTTTAAGCGTCTTACAGTACTTTCTAGTTCGTTTACGATCTTTTGTAATCTCCGCACTTCGACCGTTGCCTTATCTTTTTCACCGATGTGTTTTTCTCTCTCCATTTCGTGCCTCTCTTTTAACTGCTCAAGCTCCATTTTACGTTCTTCCTCTGAATCTGAACATTTTTTGGCCATTGTTGCTAGATCGTCGGTCAGTCTTCTATTAAGGTACTCCAACTCTGTTATCTTTAATGTTAAGGTGCCGTTCTCCTGGTTCAGTTTGCTCTCCTTTACTGAATTAGCCTCAAGTTGAGATCGTAAGCGAGATAGTTCCTTAAGCATGTCACGATTTGCTGTCTCAACCTCCAAATATCCTTTTATCTTTGTCTCGTATTCTTCAATCTTTACGTTGAGGTCTTTAATGGTCGCTTCATTTTGCCCTTCAATTTCGCTGAAAAGTCTTTCAACGTCATCCAATTTCAAGCGTAATCGTTCCGATTCATTGTTTAATTTTCTATTTTCATCCTCAAGCATCTCGATCTTGTTTTTCATTGCGAGGGTATCTTTCTCCCATTCAAGGTTTTGTCTGGTAGCTTCCTCCTCAAGTCCTGCTACTGTGATGGTTAGCTCATTGACCGCCGTGGTAAGCTCTTGCTTTCCTTTCTCCAGTGCTGAAATGGTTACATTCCTTTGCTCCAATTGCTTATTCAAATCGGCTAAGTCATCTTCATATTCAATTTTTTGGTCGCTTATTTCCTTTTCATGCCTGCTGCTCAAATCTTCCATGTTGTTGGTGTATTCGTCCTCTGCGTTGCTAAATTTTGTCTTCCAGTTTGTCACTTCCCTCCGAAGTTCCTGATTCTCTTGGTTAAGTTTGTCTTTCTCCTGCGATTCTTTCGTGAGCGCATCCTGTAGCTTTGATACCTGTGACATGCACCTCAGTTCAATTTCTTTTCGCTCCTTAACAATTCTTTCCTCGTAATTAACTATTGTGTCTCTCTTGGAAGCCTCAAGGCTCTGTATGCGGCTCAACAAACCCCTCTTGTCATTTTCTAACGCACTAATTTTCTTCTTTAATGAACTTATCTGTAAGATAAACTCTTCTTGGCTTTCCTTAAGATTGTTTTGAACTCGATCTAGCTCTTTCTCCATCGTTGTCAATTGATTACTTTTATGCTCCATCTCCTCTTTCATCTGCGCTATAATTTGCTTCAGTTTATCTACCTCTTGTTCATATTTGTTCTTGCTTTCTTCCATCCAGTTTTCACGCTTCTTTATTTCCTCTTTTAGTTCGGCTGTCTCTGTTCTATGACTGGTGTTCTCCTCTGTATTCTTTCTGTCTAGATTCTGGCACCTCTCAACTAATCTGTCGTTTTCTCTCGTTAGCTCAGCTGTCTTCTGATCGTACTGGTTTTGCAAGTCCTTGATTTTGGCCTCCAGATCTCTTACTGTTTGCTCTAGTTTAGATATTATAGCCTCTTTCTCGGTTTTCATCTGCTGTAACTTCTTAGTATGTTGCACCTTCAAATTTTCAGTTTCCTTTTTGAATTGCTTCTCTATTTCTGCATTCTCTTTTCTCATCTTGTCAGCCATTTCCTCCTTTGTGGTTCTTAGAGTTGTTTCGTATTGCTCTCGTAATTTCAACATTTCTTTACGGAGCTTATCAAGCTGTGCCTGTAATTTCTTCTTCTGCGATTCGAGTTTCTCCCTTTCGGCTGTAAAATGAGAATTCCTTTTCTCGAAATCTTGCAGCAGATCAGTTATCTTAACTTCGTACTTCTTAACGATCTCACTCTGTCTCTCGATGAGCTGTTGTTTTTCTTGGTCAAAGTTTGCCTCAATCTCGCTCTTCTCCTTTTCACATTTTTCTTTAAGAGATGTTTTAATTTCCGTCATTTTCAATTTGTAAGTCTCTTCTAGTGTCGTACATTTTTTTATCAATTCCTCTTCTTTTTGGCTGTGGTCTTCGTTCAACAACACCTTTTCCTCTCTAAGTTTTTCTAACTTTAAATTCATTTCTTCTTGGATGTCTGCTATCTTCTTTTCGTAATCAGAAACAGTTTGTTCGTGACTCTCTGTTAACTTGGATTTCTCATCAGCATATTCTTTGTCCATCTCTTCTTTTTCCTTTTCATATTTTTGTCGAAGTTCTTTCTTCGTTTCTTTAATATGCTGTTCATATTTGTCCACGCTACTAGACAACTCTTCTCTCAGCCCTTGGATCTTTTCTTTATACTTCTGTTCGTGACTGTTCATGGCAGCCTCTAAATCTGCCAATTTCTTTTCGTATTTTTCTTTGATTGCAGCTAGTTGCTCTTCGTACGATTTAACTGTGTTTGCATTGGACACCTTTAGCTCCTCCATCTGCTTTAGAAATCTTGACTCTAATTCTTCCTTTTCTTTGTCGAACTTAGCCGTCATTTCCTCCTTAAGCTCCTTGGTATTTGATTTATGCTTCTTCTCTAACTCAGCCACTTCTTGTCTCAGTGTTTCAAGACTTTTTTGGTGTGACTCCTTGAGGCCCCTCACTTCACTTTCCATCTCATCAGCCTTGGCATCCAATTCCTCCTGAAGACCAGTAATCTTTTCTTCGTACTCTGTTATCACAGTCTTGTGGGACTCTACCAAATTGTTTTTTTCTTTGAAAAATGTCTCCTCCATTTCACTTTTTTCCTTATTGCATTTTTCTGTCATCTCATCTTTGACTTCCTTAATCTGTTTCTCGTGACCCTGTTTTAAAACTAAAATTTCTTGTTCCATTTTTTCCGTGTTTGCCTTACTGGTCTCTTCGAGCCTTTCTATCTCTTTTTCCATCTGAGCAATTTTCACTTCATAATCTTGTTGAGTGCTTGTCAATTTTGTTTCATAACTCTGAATCGTGGTCTTGTGGCTTTCAATTATTTCTTCTTTTTCTTTCATGAAATTGACTTCAAATTCACTCTTCTCCTTTTCATATTTTTCAAGCAGCTCCTGCTCCAGACCTTTCATTTGTTCTTTGTACTTCTGTTCTAGCGAGTTAACCTTTTCCTGCCATGTCTGAGTTTCTGCAGCATGTTGCTCCATGAGCTGTGTTTTCTCTGTCTCCAGTTTCGTAATAATCACTTTGTTTTCCTTTCGAATTTCCTGTATTCTGATCTCACCTTGTTGTATAAGTTTCTTGTACTTGTTTATTAAGTCTTGCTTGTCTGTATCGAATTCACTTTCCATGGCATTTTCTTTTTGAAGGTACTCCATCTTTAGCTTATCTTGGAGCTCCCTCATCTGTAACTCGTAGCTTTCCTCTAACTCCTTCAATTTTTTCTTCAGCTCGGTAATTTCCTCCAAAGAACCGTTGTAGCTTGTTTCAAATGTATCCTTCTGCGCTTTGAGTTGCGCCAACTGTTCCTCATATTGCTCAGTGACTGAAGTTATTCTCGCTTCATATTCGTCTAGGGATTTTTGGTGAGCTGCCATCATGGATTCCTTTTCTTTCGTGAAGGCAGCTTCCATCTCACCCTTTTCAACTTGGCATTTTTCCGTCAACTCAATCTTCAGGTTTGCCAGCATTTCTTCGTATTGTTTCTCAAGAGATGAGCATTTTTCACGCCATGTAGTCACTTGTGTGCTGAGGTTAGTATTCTTTTTCGCAAGTTTTTCTTTGTCAAGTTTAAGCTGTCCTAGTTTAACTTCATATTCCTGCTGAATTTGTACAATCTTCATCTCATACTCCTTCGTGCTCTTCTGATACGTCTGTAACAGACCCTCGTTTTCTGCTCGAAGCATCTGTATTTGTTCTTCGAAGTTATCTTGCATTTCATCTTTTTCAGTGGAGAACCTGGTTTCTATTTCTGCCTTCTCCATCTTACATTTGTTTGAAAGCTCCCTTTTCAAGTCTTCAATCATACGAAGATTTTCTATTTCCATGGCGGACATCTTTTGCTTAAGTCTTTGGACTTCTCTTTGTGACTCGTTATACTTTTTTTGCCAGTTGTCTCGCTCAATTTTGAGTTGCCCGATCTTTGTCTCGTATTCTTGCATCAGTTTTGTTTTCGACAGTTCGTAATCCGTTACCGTTTTTTGATACATGTTATTGAGACTTTTCTTTTCCTCTTCCAGCACCAGAATTCGTTGCTTAAGAGACTGGATTTCCGCATTGTTATTTTGGTCTGTTGGAATTGTTCCCACGACTTCCATGCTCCAACTTCCTCCTTGGTCTTCCATTGGAATTTCGTTGGTAACCATGGAGTATGAGGTAGGTTCAGCATAGTAAGGACTTCCCCAACCATCTATGGGTTGGGACTCATTGATTTCGACCACAGACATGTCTGATTTTCCCCTAAGTAAATAAGGACACAAACATAATCTTTAACGCTGCTGTCTTCTGTTAAAATTTCCTACACATTGTATCACTAAGTTATATTTCGATAAACTGATTTTATTGTATAAATTAAAGAAAATATGTTGTTTTTTGAGAATGAAGAGATTATTGGATAGCTAATTTGTTACATTGATGTGTTTTCTATATGATCTTTTCAACAAGGTCTTCGAAGAATGTTCTCATTGTTGTTAATGTTTTACTTTATGAGTATCGTAAACCTAATTCCAAAATAATCTCGGAGGCAAATCAGAACAAAGGAAAAAAAAACAGAAGAAGTTAATGAAAATAGACACGAGCACATTTTTTGAAGGGCGGGAAAATGCAATTCACCTTTCAGCGGTTGATTTTAGTTTTGTAGGTGATTAGCTAGGAGAGTGGTGCGAGTTTTCTGGACCAATCGTAGAGCGAAGTAATTCAGTACAAAAGGAGTCCAGGATTTATTTGAAAACTGCTTTTAATCGGTATGTTGACTTATTACTACCAACTCTGTTACGTGGTTCATCAAATTAATTGGAAATGCTTGCCAAAGATTTCGTGGGAGATAATTGAACCAATCAAAAATTGAACTTGACTATAACCATTATTTCTCGTTGACGCGTGCGTTGACTGATAGATTTTGTGTGCCGCGCTATGCCGTGCGGACCGCCCCAGTTCAAGGCTGATTTTTTCAGTCGCCTACATTTCTCGTTATCTATCGTCAATCGCTGTGAACAAGTGTGAAAATGAAAGATTGAATGTTTTTTTCTCTTAAGATTTTGTATTTTAACTTGGTAAGGATTTACTACACTTAAACCCCAAAAACACAGGATTACGATAAACTATCTTACTTTCCCTCGTCTTTTCAGGGTGTAATTGATGCTACGCATCTTCGCTTATTTTCTTTCCTGTTCCCAGTTAAAGGGCTCAAAGGGGAAAGCCTCGTCGGGTCCATGGCTAACAGAATGCGCTTCGAACTCGGTTAACAAGAATTATATAATTTTTCAGGCAAGTTTTCTCTCCAATCTTTGCAGTTAATCCGAAGCGCTATACTTTTCCAAAGGAAGAAGGTTATTGGTATTCATACCTTCTTAAGTCAAATGGAGTCTGAAGTAAGCACGAATTCGAAACTGTAAATTTAGATGTTTGTGGTTGAATCTTCAATATTTATTGCGGAATTATTCTTAAACACCGAAGAAAAACAGGCAAGAGCAAATTTTGTGTATATTTACCCAGTTTAAGTATAAATGAAACTCATGTTAAATTTAAACTGTCACTTTACATGTTTTCAGAAAATTTAAATGTAAAATTGTAAAATATTTTTGATTGAGGAAGAAAAATAAGAAAAATAGCTTTGAATTTCGCGAGTAAAAAAATTAAGCCTTGCTATTGTCTGTAAAGTTCTACCAGCTAATGAATTAACGCATCAATTTTTAACATTAAAAAGATTTAGGAATTTTTATCGAAGCGATATTGTCGATAGTACGAATTACTTTTGAGTATTCAAATATATGATTGATTATAAGTATAGTACTGACAGTTCTTCAGTTTTCTGGTACAGAAAACATGTCACTCATATAATTTTCTCTTGTTCATATCCATCTCTGCATAAAGAGCAGCTGCCAATATACTTCTGCAAAAGGGCTTCATAACGAACGTTTCTCATAATTTTGTAAACCTACCTGAATTTTGTTTACTTGTGCCTTTTCAAAAATAGTTACATCTTCTGCACAAGTCTACGACATCTTCCTCTTTCAGTAAGCACTCGTTCCTTGGTTGACAGCTCGAAAAATGTCTATATTCTGGCACTTTGACTGTTTTTCTCCAGGATGTAAACAGTTGGGTTAGTAAAAAATTATCATCCACGACGAAATCCAATCAGAGGAGTTGGTTGTGTCACGTCAAATTCATTTGCATTTTCCTTTTAGCAGGTCACGCGGAGATGTGTCCTCCTTTATCAATAATGTCAATTATGTTAAGATACATTTAAAAAAGTTATTTGAAATTTAACCTAAAATCAAAGCTACACCTGCCAAACTAATAAAATATTTTTTTTGTGGGGGAAGGGGGGGTTTCTTGTCTATAAATTACGATTTCACCGTTAAACTATTTTAAAAACCCGGCAAATTACAAATAAGCTGCCATTTTTTCATTTTTATGCAATCTGCTCCAAAGACGTGGGATATAAATACAAAGTTAAACCACAAATCTCCCGGTATTTCACAAAGGGAAAACCTCAACTAGTGCTGTCCCTTTCCTGCTATGCATTCAATTCCTTAACTATTACACGGGCCCGTTTCGTAAACGTTCCGTTACTTGTCCTTCAGCTTTTATACACCGGGTTGACGGAACATTTTTATTTTAAAAACCGGTGTAAGTTTGTAGATTTAGGACACAGGTGGTTTTGCGGTTTTACTTGATTAGGTACCAGCCAAATGTTAATGTCCTTCTAGCTCATCTTCTATGCTTTGAAGATGTTATGAACAAAGGAAACAAGCATGTATTCTGGTTCCGGGTTAACAACAGCTAACGCTCTGCTTTTATTAGGATTATGACCAGTGACGCCGCGTACTTATTTGACGAATTGAAGGTGTTCCGGTCCATGTTTCAATGTAAATTATTTGGCATTGAGCCTAACCTAATGATGGGGGGGTGTTAATTGATGTGTAGATTGAGGGAAAAAACAAACGTAGATTTTGCACCTGTATAGCTGCTAAGCTCCAGGAGGACTATTAAAAAGCTTTATCAGTATGCCGAACATTACCAGCCTACTTTGAAAATTGTTATTTCTTGGAACAACGATGAATGAAAATATTTATCTTAAACTGAAAGTAGAAAGTAGAAAGCACGTCCTATAAGATAAAATCCCCTCTATTTTATTGATATCCTTTGTGCTATAAACCATGCCGCTTTGAAAAAAAAACCAGAATGTAACTCATGCATCTGAAGGAAAAAATTATACGATTTACCAGCTGCGGCAATGCCCATTAAATCACCTATAGATAATAATTGATAACATGATAAGTAAAATTAATATCACTGTTAACCCTGCTTGTGTTTGATGCAAACATCGATATAGAAATAAAGTAGTAAACCATTTACAAAGCAAAGTATCAAGTCCTTCAAAGGAAAATTTAAGTGCCCATTTCAATTATTTTCAACGCGAAAACAACGTAAGGGTTTACAACAGACCTTACAAAGAAATGATACTTACTTTGATATACACAGTATCAACATTTCAATAACAATTTCTAGCAATTACATTTGAACTGAAGTATTGAGGCTCACGATATCCGTGACTATCATTTAGAACGACAGCTTCAAATCTCTAAGACTGGTCTATACCAATTTCGCTAACCAAATGGATCTCTCGCAATTGCTTAATGAAACCAAAATAACAAACTGAGGCAGTTTAATCTTATGTAGGTTATGTGCCCCTTTTGAAAAATAAAACAAATAGGCCTTTTATTGGTTAATAAAAGCTTTTTTGTTTAAAAAAAAAGAGACATAGAAAAAATATTTAACCGAAATTTTTGCTATTTTTGAAAAGAAATTTTAGCAACTAACTATGTATACAATACCAACCTTACTAACAAGGGTTATAAAAGAAATGGTGCACGGCCATGAGTGATGCATTATCATTAGGACACTCATTTAACGGTGTTAATTATTAATTGTGTTGTCCAATGTAACTCTAAAAAATTATGGTCTTTAAAATCCACCCAGTAGTTATCTCAACGCCTCAGCGCCCTATTATTTGAAATACTTGCCATTGTGCTGTCATTGAAAAAAGAAAAAAGAGTCCTCTCTCATTGTCATTATTAATATCATGATAGTTATCACGTCACTCCCTTGATTGAGTTTGTAATATCTTTACACCACAGAAGGTTAATGATTCCCTTCTTTGCCATAAGAGTCGCCTCCGACTCCTTCAGCTGTCAAATTTCCACCTGCATTACCGAGAGAACTGCTAACTTCGACATTTGTGACTCCCAGAGAAGATATCGTTGATTGTTTACGCATTCCTCGTGTTATTGGATCACCTTGCCTTAGCGCAGAGTTTGTATCCCCATGGAACCTTCCGCTGACTATTCCACTTGTGCTTGACATTGGACCCCTGAGAGCGTCAGAAATACTTCCTGTGGTGTGCATTGTACACCGAACCTTGTCTAAAATGTCGCCATAGGATAGCCCTGAACCCAGCAAAGAACTGGCATTAGCTGAGCTCATTCTTGGAGAAAAGTTTGGCTGGAACATTCTGGCCTCCGACCTCATGCCACTAATTGTTGAGCCAATTGAAAGGTGGTTGGCTCCGCGGATGTCTGATTCTCCATAAAGTCCAAAACCCGACCGGAATACGTCGTTTCTATTGCTCTGTAAACAAATTCAACGAATGGGGTTAGAAGCCTTACTTAGGTAAGGCACCATCTTTACTATTGACTAAGGTGTATTTCTTGTCCATAGTTGCTGGCAACTTAGGAGACACCAACTTTATTCAATATGACTTGACTAGGAAAACTCCACTTTGAATATTAAAAGGATAACACTCTTACCATTTCTTCTCTGTTAGCAAATTCTAAATCCTTGTTTCGTACTTCCAGAGTTTTCAATCTGTCGCCCATAACTCTGAGCTCGCGCTCCAGCCTCTCTGTTTTGGTTTGAAGAGTCATGTTCCGTTGTTCCATCAAGTTGATTTGCTCCTTGTATTGTCGAACATCAGATTGAGCACAGTGATGACTCGTTTCGGAACCAACCTTTTCAAAAGAGTTAGGCTTTCAGTACAACAATCTCATATAACTATTTTATAAATAAATTTGCACATATGTATTCATTTTAACATATACTCACAAGGACACTTTTTATTGTTGTTGCCATCATATGTTTCCCTGTAACGTTCGTATTTCTCTCCACATCCTCTCTCGCCTTGCTGAGCTTTCTCTTCATCTCTGCTTGCATTTTGTCTAGCTCATTTTCAAGTTCTTGCTTTTCACCTTCCAGAGTATCACGTAATTCAGATTTTTCCCTCTTCAACTTGTTGATTTCTTGTTGAAGGTCTTTAATCTTATCTTCCATGGGCCTTTTTTCGCGTTCCATTCGCTCAAAGATCTCGTGCTCCATCTGAATTACCATCCTGCTTCTTGACTCCTGTTGTGTTTTTGCCTGAGCATTGGCTGTTAACTCGTTCTTTAGCAACTTATCTTGAATTTCTCTCCTCTGATTTTGCAGGAAAGATATTTGTTTCGTTAATCCCTTTATTGTCTGCTCAAATTTTTGTTTCTCCTCAATCAGCATCTTTTTGTAATCTCGCTCCAATTTCATCTTTAACTCATCGTGACTTTGGAGAAGGCTCTTTTCAGCATTTATTTTTTCTTCCTGGTACTGTATTCTCTCATTCCGTTGTTGGGCTTCCATATTCCTGACTTTTTTTTCTGTTAATGTCATCTTTCGTCTAAATTCATCAATGATTCCTTGCAGTCTTTTTCGTTCAGAGGACAATTTTTCTTCATAGCTTTCTGTTACCCGTGTTACTTCGTCGTCTTTATCTCTTGCTGCTCTATCGCGAATGGTTTTCTTTTCGCTGTCGCTAATTTTGATAAGCTTTTCCATTTCTTTCTTGAAGCAGTTCTTCACTTCTCTATTCTCACTTTTAAGAGAGTTGACCTCCTGTGTCAGAGAATGTATGGCCTCCATCAGCTTCCTCTTTTCGTTTTGCAACTGGCTTTGGTAATCTCTCGTTTCCTCCTTAAACATTACAGTTTCATTTTCTAAACCAGCTCTTCCTCCCATGGCATCTTCAGCAGTTGCTCTTCCTCTTCCAATTCTATTGTCATCTTCCAAAGCATATCGGCCTGTTATTGTAGTTGACCTTCCGTCCCTATCACTAAAATTATTTAGACTCCCGAGTTCTTGGTGAGGGGTTATATCTAATTTTTCAAAGCGATATCTATCTTCCTGCGTCCCCGAGGTTCCAACCAATGCTTTGGGAACTTTGTTCTTTCCCACGCCATCTTCTCTTCGCGTCATGTTAATCGGATCAAATTGATTTGAGTTTTCACGAATGGTTGACCCGCCGACCACGCCTCTTGATTCGTTGCGTTCTCCAATACGAAGTCTTTCCTCGAACTCACCTCTCTGTTTCGATAACTTTTCGTTCAGGAAATCTATCTCTTTTCGATGCTTCCTTTTCAAGTCGTCGATTTCGTCTTCGAGTAAACGGCGATAGCCGGTTAATTTCTCCTTGGCCTCTCTTACTTCGTCCTCTAATTTTGCCTTCTCTTTTGATGCTCGATTCAAAATATCTCTCTTCTCTTCATTATATCTTTGTTCCATCCCTTGAAGTTTTTGCTGAAACTCACTTTCCTTGGATTTCTCGCTGTATTTTTCTTTCCTTGATTGAAATTGAGGTAATTCTTTCACTCCGTCTTTGCTTAACGACGATCTCCTTTCTGAAGTTATAAGACTGTGTTCTCTATTTTCTCCTCCCGTGGCAATAATCCCCATACCGTCACCGCGGATAGTCGACTCAACATCGTAGAGCCTTTGTTTCAGGCTACTATTCTCTTTCTCAAAGTAGTTTTCCAAAGACTGCCGCTCTCTTTCAAACTCTTCTGACATCCGTCTTTTTTGTGCCTCAAGATTCTTGAGATCATCTGCATGCTTCCTATTAGCATCTCTTAACATGGCCTCTAAATGTTCCACCTCTTCTTTTAATTTGTCGTCATGTGAATCAGTGGTGCGTCTCCTAAGATCTCCAGAAACGCCGTTATGCGAATTGAGTGTGGTACGGGAGCCCTCCCTTTGGGTTCCAACGCTTGCCGATAGTTGTTCTTCTAGGCGTCTTATTTTCTCCTCCAGCCTTCTTGTTGTTTCTGTTTGCGCCTGAAGTCTTTTCTCGCAAGCTTCTTTTGCCTTTACTACTACCTCTACGGCGCTTACCTTTTCATTCTCGTGATTTCTTGTCAAAGTTATCTTTTCTTGACGGAATGAATCTTCAAGATCTTGGATCTTCCGCGTGAATCGTTCAGTTTCATCAGAAAGCTTCCTATTTCGCCTTTCCACGTCATCCAGGGTGCGGGACAAATGGTCAACTTCGCGAGTGAGGTTTCTCTGGCCAGCTAAGAGTTCATCTCGCTTTCGAGTCACTCGAGCGACTTCTTCCTCAAGATCTTCATTTTTCCTCTTGAGTTCTTTGTTCTTCTTAGCTTCGTTTTTCAACACCTCTAGCTTATCATGAAGATCATCTATTTCACTTTGCAGTTCTTGTCGTTTTTTAACACTTTCTTGGTTATATTTTGAGGACCCTACATTGTGTGTTTCATTTCCTCTCGAACTGATCAATTTGAAATTAGCATCGTCAAGTCCTTCGTGATTCCCATCAGCCGATAGAATTTCATTTAGTTTATATAGGAGTTTCTTATTCTCCGCTTCTAGGTTTTCCCGTCGTCTTATCTCGTTTGTTAGCTGCACCTGGATATCATCGTCACCCCGACCAGTTCTGGAATTCACGTCAGTCTGAGTACCTGGAAAGGTGGTATGATTTTCGCGGCTGTATATCGGCCCATTTCTGCCAGCTTCCGCCTCTTGCCTTCGTTTCGTTTCATCTATCAGTGATTTCTGCAATTTGCTGATCTGTGAGAGATATTCTTGAGTAATTTCATTGGCCTGTTTTTCTATCATCGCTTTTATTTCCATTCTCTCTCGAAGAAAATCTTCCTGTAGTCTGTGGTTTCTTTCTTTAAGGTCCGTGATGTCAGCAAGCAGATACTTTATGTCGTTAGCAAGACTCATCTTGCTTCTTTTTTCTTCTTCGTACTTTTGACGCACCATTTCAATATCCTGGTAATCCAAGTCTACGCCTGAATGTCGATCCCTGCTACCCACAAATGAACTTCTCAAGTCCTCTCTTAGTCTGTTCCTTTCTTCCTCCAGCCGTTCTATTTTGGATTGTAAATCCTTTAGTTGGCTCTTTGCCAGTAGTGTGTTTGAAATCTGACTCTGCAGTCTCATATCAATGCTACGAAGTTCTTCTGAATGTCGTTTTTTCAGACCAGAAATCTCGTCTTCCTTATCATCTAGGGTTTTTTTGTTTTCTCTTAGAGACCATTCCAATTTTCGGATTTTATCTTTCAATTTAGAAATCTCTAATGACGATTCCTTTCGAATATCTTCTATCCTATTCTGTTGATGCTTGTTTGTTCGTTTCAACTCTCTCATGTTCCCCTCTAACCTCACTCTTTCTCGCTTTAACTCAATAAATTCGTTCTCTCGAGCCAGTCCAATTTCAATGTTCTTCAAACTTTCTTGGCTTTCATTTTTTTTACTTAAGACGTCCAGAATTGACCTGAATTCTCTGTTCTCTTTCTCTAACGCAAGAATATTTTTCTTATATTCCGGAAGATCTTCACCATCGTTATCTTGATCTGATGTGAGCGTGCCCATGTCCAGTGTGTTTGTCCTAGCTTGAGATGACGCCCACTCGTTTAGTTTGCTCTGTAAGCATTCATTGTCACGTCTCAGGGAACGAATGGTTTCATCAAATCGATTTATGCTCTCCAACATTTCTTGGTACCTTTCTTCGAGGTAAACCTTTTCGTCGTTTTCAGTTTGGTATTCCCTTTCAAACTCCTCTTTCTGCTTCTTTTCGTTTTCATAAGCTCTCTCCAGGCGTTCCTTTTCACGTTTTATTTGATCGCACTTGGATTTATAGTACTCATAGTCATTAGACAGTTGGCTTGAATTCCTACTAATCTCTCTAACACTTTCATGAACGTCGTAAGTATGGGTAAAATCACATCCATGTAAATTACTATGATCCTGTAAAGAGACATCCCTCGGAGTAGTGATGTACTCGATCAAGCTACTATAGTCTTTCAATATATCGCAACAATGGTGATGATCTTCCGTCTTTTGCATCCTTTCCCTACTTGATATCACCAAAGTTTCCCTCTCTTGTCGTAGTTCGTCGTAACGTCCTTCCAAATACTCTTTCTCTTTTTCAAGTTTGGTAATCCTTTCCAGAAATTGTTCTATCACTATGTTGTGATCATAGGTCTCTTTCTGTGTTACCTCAGTTTGGTCTGACTTGGTTTTTTTGCTACCAACCTTTTTATCACCTCCGTGAGACTTCGTTTCTTCGCTCTTGCTGTTGTCAATAACTGATGCAACGTCATCGATAGACCGCACCTCTTCAGGTTTCACCTGATTGTGTTGCTTCTTCTCGACGGGTTTTTCATTTTCCTGACTAATGTCTTTCGAAACTGTTTCTTGGGTTAGTCCGTTGGAGGATATCTGGCTTCCTTCTCCTGTAATCCAACTTTTGTCATTTTCCTGGTCATCAATTGTTCCAACTACTTCCATGCTCCAACTTCGTTCCAGCTCTTGTTCCTCTAACGTTCCTATTACCTCTATACTCCAGCTGGATTCTCCAATATTCGATACAGCTTCTTCTTCTGCTATCTGTTCCACAGGAGCTTGCTCCTCTTGATTGAGACTATTATCCAACCGGACTTGTTTCTGACTTTCAGTAACTTTCCTGACATTGTTCTGTTCTAATGGCTTTTCTTGTACGGTGGTTTCTAACTGCTCTGCTTTAATTTTTCCCTCTTCCACAACGGAAACTACTTGACTTTGCTTCTCCAGTGGTAGTTCATGCAAAGACATTTCCTGAGTCTGAACATCTCCACTAGTCACATCCAGCGGCATTTCCTGTATAGTCATCTCACTCATCTCAAACAGCTGCTCCTGCATCTCACCCCCTTCCACAACTGAGATTTCTTGGCTTTGCATCTCCAAAGACATTTCCTGAATAGACATTTCTTGTGTCTGTATATCTCCCCCAGCCATATCCAACGGCGTTTCTTGTATAGTCATTTCACTTATGTCCAATTGCTGTTCTTGAGTCTCGCTTCCTTCTAGAACGGAAATTTCTTGACTCTCTATCTCCAAGGGCATTTTTTCCGTAGACACTTCCAATGTTTGAGTTTCTCCCCCAGCCATATCCAATGGTAATTCTTGAATCGTCATTTCGCTCATCTCAAATTGCTGTTCTTGGATCTCGTCCCCTTCCACAACGGAAATCTCTTGGCTTTGTATCTCCAAGGGCATTTCCTCCATAGACATTTCCAACGTTTGAGTTTCTCCCACGGCCATATCAAGTGGTATTTCTTGAATGGTCATTTCATTCATCTCAAATTGCTGTTCTTGGATTTCGGCTTCTCCTACAATGGAAATTTCTTGACTTTGCATCTCCAGTGGCATTTCCTGCATGGACATTTCCATTATCTGAGTTGCTCCTCCAACCATATCCAGTGGTATTTCTTGAATTGTCATTTCATTCATCTCAAATTGCTGTTCTTGGATTTCGGCTTCTCCTACAATGGAAATTTCTTGACTTTGCATTTCCAGTGGCATTTCCTTCGTGGACATTTCCATTATCTGAGTTTCTCCTTCAGCCATATCCAGTGGTATTTCTTGAACTGTCATTTCATTTATTTCAAATTGCTGTTCTTGGATTTCGGCTTCTCCTACAATGGAAATTTCTTGACTTTGCATCTCCAGTGGCATTTCCTGCATGGACATTTCCATTATCTGAGTTTCTCCTCCAGCCATATCCAGTGGTATTTCTTGAATTGTCATTTCATTCATCTCAAATTGCTGTTCTTGGATTTCGGCCCCTTCCACAATGGAAATTTCTTGACTTTGCATTTCCAGTGGCATTTCCTGCATAGACATTTCCACAATTTGGGTTTCTCCTCCAGCCATATCCAGTGGTATTTCTTGTATCGTCATTTCACTCATTCCAATTTGGTACTCACCGTCCACAGTTAATATCTCTTGACTTTGCATTTCCAAAGGCATTTCCTGCATAGACATTTCCACAATTTGGGTTTCTCCTGCAGCCATATCCAGTGGTATTTCTTGTATCGTCATTTCACTCATTCCAATTTGGTACTCACCGTCCACGGCTAATATCTCTTGACTTTGCATTTCCAAAGGCATTTCCTGCATTGACATTTCCAGTATCTGGGTCTCACCCCCGACCATATCCAGTGGAATCTCTTGTACCGTCAGTTCACTCGTTTCAATTTGGTACTCACCGTCCACAGCTGACATTTCTTGTATTGTCATAGCATTCATCTCCAATTGCTGCTCGTTCCCTCCTCCCGTTAATGCTATTTCTTGACTTTGCATAACTATTCCCATTTCTTGCATTGAGAATTCTTGCGTCTGCATTTCTCCTCCACTTATCTCCAATGGCATTCCTTGCATAGTCATCTCACTCATCTCAAGTTGCTGTTCCTGGATCTCGCCTCCTTCAAATGCAATCTCTTGATTTTGTATCTCCTGACTTTGCATTTCTAGGGGCATCTCTTGCATATTCATTTCTTGCATCGACATTCCTTCTATAGCCATTCCCCCACCTTCCATAGTCATTCCTTCTACAGTCATTCCACCTTCCATAGTCATTCCTTCTACAGTCATTCCACCTTCCATAGTCATTCCTTCTATAGTCATTCCACCTTCCATAGTCATTCCTTCTACAGTCATTCCACCTTCCATAGTCATTCCTTCTATAGCCATTCCACCTTCCATAGTCATTCCTTCTACAGTCATTCCACCTTCCATAGTCATTCCTTCTATAGCCATTCCACCTTCCATAGTCATTCCTTCTATAGTCATTCCACCTTCCATAGTCATTCCTTCTATAGTCATTCCTCCCTCTATCGTCATTCCTTCCATAGCCATTCCTCCTTGCATAGTCATTCCTTCTATAGTCATTCCTTCCATAGTCATTGACATATCTTGAAAAGACATTCCCTGCATGGACATTTCCTGCATCTGCATTTGTTGTTCAGTCACTTCAAAAGACATTTCTTGCATCATTCCGCTTTGTCCCATTGACATTCCTTCGATTTGAATCATTTGGCCATTGTTGTCAAGTGCAATCTCTTGGGATTGCATTACAGAACCATTCATCCCATCTGCTTTCATATCTGTTGCTTGTGTTGAACCGTATACTAGCTCTGTTCCTTGTATCATGCCCCCCTCAGTCTGGAAATTCTGGCCGCCATATTCTCCGGACGATGACATAGACATTTGCATTTGTACCAAAGTATCTCCTACTACTACTTGTTGTCCGTCTATTACTTGATACTGGACCCCATTTTGAATATTAAACTGCTGTCCATCAAGTTCCTGTGACCCTATTATGACTGTCATTCCTTCACCATTCACTGAGTCCAACTGTTGCTCGCTCATCATCTGAAGTTGCATTTGAGATTCCATATTTACACCTAACATTTCAGACGTCATCTCGACGTATCCACCGTTTTGAATCTCAATTTGGCCCCCTACCATTTGACCCTCCATTTGAAACACTTCTTGAGGAGTAATTTTAGCGGATCCTTGTTTTGATGAACTCGCTGTTTCCGTGCATGCCTTCTAATGCAAATTCTGTTCAGAATAATTGTTTTCGGCTTGCATCACCTGTATGGTTTTGTCTACCATCTTTCTCTCATGTTTTTAAAACATATCTACCACAAGAAAAAGATTCACAGCAGTTGGGATAGACAGTGCTTTGTTTAGATCTTCGTATGGATTATTTAATTTACCGTCGATTCACTTATTGGCACCATTTCGGATTGTACTTAAATCGTAAGGAAGTTGAAGAGGTTGAAGAGAGAGTTAACTCGGGCGACCTTTTCTTTGAGTGAAGTGTTGATAAACTTTTTAATGTAATGGTAAGATTAACATGCCACCAGCGCAATGTTGATATGTTGCTATGTAAGCAAACTGAAATATGGAATGTTTTTGTTGTTATTCCGATGGTTTGAATGCTTGCGGGTACCTTAAGATTTTAAGTCAACTTTGCAGGTTCTTGATAAACACAGATCAATGGGAAAATTATCAAAAGAATGCGTCATTAGAGACAGATAATAAGTAATTTAATGTTAAGTTCCTAAATAAGTCTTTATTTTATTGCCAAATTCAAAAGCTGCCGTAAGAGAATTTCAGTACAATATGGCAGAATGTACAATCAAAAGTAGCGTGCTTTCAGTTATTTAACCTTACTTTAAACCTTGTTTTCCTTATCAAAATTCGTTGCCATTTGTAAGTTGAAAGCTATTGGTTCAAAGTTGGCATTTGTCATGTTTTAAAAGCCCAAAGATTTGTCAATAGAAAGTTCTCCCTAATTTTGTGGTATACTAGTAAATTATTCAGAAGCGTCTCTTATTACCCCATCAAAAAATTGGAAGACAGGTACAAACCACAATGCTATATGGGAGTCCTAGTTCATTCAACACTTCGTGCAATTTTTTTTCAAGTGAAGCCTACTTCATCTTGGCAATTGGTCGACAATAATCAATGTAACTCATTGCATTCTTTCTCCTTTCCTTTTAATGCGTAAGAACCTACCGTACAACCTGAAAATTGTTGCGTACAAATCATCTTTTTTGCTAATTAGAAATACCGTCTAACTGTAATTATTGAGTTTGTGCTTAATTGTGTTCCCGCTCTTTGGCGGAAAGTGAACCAGATGGAATGGTTTTCAAGAAATATTATAAGGAAAATCATTCAGAAGTCGACTGAAAAAACAATAGTTGAACTCTGTTAGTGACGTGTTCTTTGCCGTGAAATCAAGACTTTTGCTCAACGTCTTTCAATAATCTTCACTTATTTTTCCCTTTCGCCTCTAGATTCCAATTGGGTTGACATTCATTGCATCCTGTATACCCTTTAATTAATCAGTATGGCTCTCGCGTTAATTCGCTTAAACGCTTAGAGCTAACTGTTGTGTTCATTTTTTTGTACCTGTTTGTTACTTTTTCCCTGTATATTTACATCAACAGGCATGACGATCGATTTTGTGACAAAGAAATAACCTTCAAGAGCATTCAAGATTTAAAGAACACTTTTCAGACCCCTAACATGTACGACTTTGGCTTTGTTTTACTTTGGGAAATGTGGAAAGTATTGTCATCGGTTTATTGTTTACCTCAAAACAAAACAAAAAGCTGCACTTTTGGCGGCGAAGTTTTGATCTGTTCCGTCAAGATTTTTTCAACTGCATCACAATAATCGTCCTCAGTTTGCTTAAATGAACTTTAATTGACACCAATTTAATTAAACGACTAAAAACCTATACGCTACTTACACCTAGTCTCCTATTTCTTCACACTAGTGTATAATACACATTATACAGGTCTGACTCGAACCAAACTAATTAAGGATTTGAATATTACAAGACTGATGATAAGATAAGATGTCCTTGAAAATTTTATTTTTAATTATTATCGTGAAATAAGCTGCTTACAAATTGTCACTTTTTATCGAAAACAAATTTCAGCATAAATTTTTCATTCAAATAATGGAGTAAACAAATTGAGACATTCGTAATGGTGATATATGGATCCCCAAAAGGATTAATTGGTTTCTTTGTCTTTCCTTGTTCCTTTTTAGTGTCAATTCTGGAATAATTTTTTTTAAAGGTAAAAAACTAATGAAAGCACAATGTACAACTAAGCATGGTTACAATTTTCAGTTGCTCGCGCTACAGGTTTCACGTTAACGGTACTATTTATTTTGGTTAGGTTGCACGTCTAGCAATTTGACAAAAAATTGTATACTCGCATTTTATAACAAATACTTGCACACAAGTGCGATTTCAGCAAAACAAGCGTATCTTCCTTGAAGTAGATAACAAACATTTTAGTTATCATTGCTTTTTTGCCAAATGAAAGCTAAGTTTGAGTATTTGGTAAAATAAACTTAGCTCCGATATCACTGGAATTACGAGCTGGTGATCAATATAATAACACACAACTAAAATATATACAATATAGAATTGTGCCCTTCATCCACAAGTAAAATATCGATATTATTTCTGTTAAATTACAACATTCTGGTCAAGTTCAAAGAGCCCAGCTTCTTCGCAGAGCTCAGACAGAACTTCCTCATAAAAGTGTTTTTGTTCCAACAATTCTCTGACTTGAGAATCTCTGTGGCGTAGTTCTTGCAGCACAGTTTCATTAGGATCACTAGCGGTGTCACCCAAGCTCCTTGTTTCTATCTCGTCTGAGAAGGTAACCTGTAAGAGGAGAACAACAACATTGATCACATTGTTCCTTACCGCACCACCTCTCCCCTTCGGTCATAAAAAAAAAATCATGAGACCATTATATTTATGACGATGGTAAATGATCACTTGTCAGCACGTAGTTTTTTGTTTGGGATGGCGATGAGATTTTGAATTTAAACATTAGATTATGGGAGACGTATTTTCTTAACCAGAGGATATCCTTTGAACATGACTGTGATGATAATTAACAGTTATTCACCATAGAGGTAATAGTTATACATCAAATTATTTTGCTCGCGTGCGATTTGTCTTAACACATCCCGTGACTGAATATTCCCTACCTAAAACTAGGGATATCATCCAAGTGGTATTCCCCGATTTTCAAACCTTACGTTCACTACGATAACCCTTCGTTTAAAATTAAAGTTAAGATGAGAGAGAGTTTTGTAGTTGTTACAGAAGAAGGGGAACTTTTTTGTTCGTAAAGTCCTACCAGGGAACACTCAAAAGTAAACACGCCACGCATCAAACAGTAAACTGTTCGTAAACATGTTTTCATGCCCTTTGCAAAATATTTAAGTGATAATAAACACAATAGCTTCTTTTGCGCGCGAAAATATGCTTATTTTTTTCACTGGACATTATCTGTTCCTCAAACCTGACAGTTTTCGTCGCGCTTCGCTTTCGGAAATCTGTTCACAATACTACCCTAAGCAAAAGTTGTTACACCAAAAACGTCTGCACCTGCTCAGTGCGATTTAAACGATCCTGTGGAAATGTCCCGTAGGATAACGAAAAATAGAGCCATTTTCCTAAAACGAATTATACCATAATAATTGGCAAAGTTTGATATGTGAAATTCTGAAATACACTCCCTCTTTTGATGCCGTTTTTCTGTGTATCGTCTTACTAACCTTCTTGGGCATTCTTTCTTGAATTCTCTTCATTTTTTCAACCTGTAAAGCGCACCATTTTCTATTACTGTGATAAATCTGTTTATTCTAAGTATATGCCAACATCATTATAGGGTAAATAACACAGAGTTAAACTTATGATGATATCATATACAACGAAAAACCAAATCTAAACTAAAGAGGCTTCAAATAAGATAAAGCAAGATACATTTAGGATATTATGGCCTCAGTTACATTGCAATTAACATTGAGGTACCTTGAAAGCCTTGGCACAATGAAGGCCTGGCTTGCATGCAATCTCTCTTTTAGTTTGGCATTAAACTAATTTGCTGTTATTTTTCCAGTGTTTCATACCTTCGTCCTTTCTGAAGACATGATTTCTTGAAAGTTGGATTCCAAAGTTTGCAGTTGGCTTGTTAATTGCCTCATTTCTAGCTCCAAGCGTTGATTGTCGTCTCTGAGGGCCAAATTTTCCGATCTCAGCCTCCTAGGGGAGTCTTGTGGGCTGTAAGGGGATTCCTAAAGAAAAAGATAAAAGGTTTGGCGAGCGCTAGGGGTGATTCAAATTAAATCAAGCGTTACAATAATAAAGGTTCGAAGTTTTGAACCAAAAAAGCATGTTAGTTTAATACTATTTTTCTGACTTGGATTTAAATTTATTTTTAAGCGGTGGCTCCTTTAATGAGTAATTATCGTCGTGATACTCACGGTAAAGATGGGACTTATTGCCCTATTGACTTTTTCTGTCCTCTTTGTCATCTCCCGTTGTAATCTTGCCTCAAGCTTGTTCTTCAGGTCTTCCTTTTCCTTTAAGAACTGGTTTTCCATTCTTTCCTTTTCTAGTTCAAACTCTTCTTCTAACCTGCTACGATCTCGCCTCAACTGGTTCCTCAGCTCCCAGCGTTGCCTCTTCAGTTCATCGATTTCTAACTGTTGTTCACTGATTGTCTCTTCAAGAGACTTTTTCTCTCGAGCTATTTTTTGTGCAACTTCTTCTTCCATTTTAGACAGTATCTCCATCTTGTAATTAGCAATGCTTTTCTCTACCAAATTCCTGTCTACAAGGGAAGGATCCTGGTTGTATATCTTATCTTGAATAAGTCGTCGCTTTTCTTGCAGGTTTCCAATTTCTCGCCTTAAGCCCTGCAGTGTTTCTTCAAACTTACGTTTCTCCTCTTTCAGTTTCTTATCATATTCTTCCTCTAAGGTTTTCTTTACGGACCTCAGTTCCTTTCCATAAGCCTCGTCCTCTTGGCCACTCCTAACACCTCTTTCATCCTCATAGACTTTTGCCTTGTCACTATCGATGGCACGTCCTTTGAGACGATCTTCTAGTTCTTTTCTCCTCTGTTCGGATTTTTCCAACTGCTCTTTTAAATCCTCCAAATTTGTCTCATGCTTCTGCGTCTCGTTTGCCAACTTGCTGTCGAAGTCTTCTTGAAGATTGCTCAATAAGTCTCTTTTGTACAGTTCCCAGTCTTCCTTGAGCTTTATCCTATCCCGTTCGTAAATTTCTTCCATAGTTTCTTTCTCTTTCTTGTGTATCAGTCTAATTTCTTTTCTTTGCTGTTTCAATTTCACTACCTCTTTAAGAAGGTTTTGAATAGTTGATTCAAGAGCCTTCTTTTCTTCCTCGTGCATCTTCTTCAGGGCTTCTTTTTCACTATCGTTTTGTTCTAACAATTTATTTTTATCTTCCTGGAATCTTTCCTCTGCTTTCAGTATATCAATCTCAACGTTTTCTATTTCTTTAGAGTGTTCTTGTAAGATTTTAGAAAGAATTTCATGGAAGTCGGTTTCTGCTGCTATATTTTTTTCAAGAAATTGTTCGTATATCTTCTTCTCAACAGACGCCTTAATTTCCTTTTTCTCTATAGAAAACTTTCGATTTATTTCCGTTGCCATTTCTTCATTTCTCTGTTTGTGTTGCTCGTCATTTTCAGCTAGCTTTCTCTTCAATTCATCATCAAACGTTTTTTGTAGCCTTTCTTTTTCTACCTTGAACATTTCTTGCAGTTCATCTCTTTCTGTCTTCCATTGTTCTGCGAGATTTTGTAACTCCGTTGATGGACTCTTTCCTTGTTTTGTTTCCTGATCTCCCCCTTCTTGTTTTAATGTTTGTGATAACAAGCCATTGTCCTCATGACTGATACCTTTTGAGGTTCCACTTTCGATATTTTCGTTTGGAACATCAATTTCTGTGGAGAACCTTTCACTTGATTCTTTCAGTTCCTCTTGAAGGTTGCTAATAGTTCCTTTAAGATCATCATTCATGGCAAACAACTCTTGAAGCTGGGACTCGAGCTCACGTTTAGAGGCCACCAGCTCTTCCATCATCTCTGACTTCTCTTTTTCACACTCTTCCAACACTCTCTCTTTTTCTTCATCGTGAGTGACAATTACCTCGCTTAATGCTTCTTTTAGTTCTTTAACTTCTTTCTTTAAACGCTTGTTTTCTGTGTCGAATTCTCCGAGCTTCTTCCTTAAGCTGATCATATCTTCTAATAGTTTTCCGTTTTCTTTGTCATCACTCTGTTGTTTAAGGAGAAGTTCCTTCTCTCTAATCAAGCTGTTAAGCTCATCAAGCAAATCCCTTTTGCTTTCTTCAATGGACAATCTTCTCTTCTTTTCCCTTTTTAAGTCTTCTTGAAGTTGTTTGTTGTCCTGCTTCAACTCGATTTCTTCTTTAATCCTTTTCCGTGTCTCCTCTGGCGTTTCACCTTCGTCATCGCCTACCTGCTTCATTTTCAGATCAACAATGTCTTGAAGCAAATCTTGGACATCTTTTTCGTATTTCTCTTTTAAAATAGTTACTTCCTCAAGCTCTCTCCCCAACTCCTTTATTCTACTTTGCAAACAATCTAAATCGTCTTCTTCATTTCCACTTTCTGTGGCTGCTTTTGCTTCTGCTAAATACTTTTCAGACCAATTTGAGATTGGAGCTTCACTCTGAACGGCTTTATTTTTCTCGGGTAAACTATCACTAAATATTTCATCCATGTACTCGAGATTGAAATGCTCCACTTGCCTTGATCTCTCCACGCTTACGATTTCCTCGTTTATGACTTCTTGAACTTGTAATGGTAGCAGAGATTCTTCGTTGGGTATCATGATTTTTGGTTCCTTCGGAATAAGGTTTTCTAGCGCACTGATATCCATATCACACAAATCTGCCGTTTCACGATTGTCCGTGTCCTTTTGTTGATCACTAGCGCTTGTTTTCTCTTCACTTGCTACCGAGTTTGCACCATCACGATCGGGAACCTCGTAATGGTTAAAATCGTCGTGGTCATTAATTTCACAGACTTCCTCTAAAAGTCGACCGCTTGGCATAGTTAAATTAGCATTCGCGCTTTGGTCAGTGGGCTTCGAGTTAACACGTGTTACATCCTCGGTAGAAATGTGACTTTCGACCACGGGCCCACTCAAATCGCCTACTTCGACCTGACGTGATTTTTTCAATTGCATTTCATAGCTTTCCAACACCTGGGCTAATGTCGCTCTCTCTGTGACAACGTCATCAAAGGCATCAAGCTCCATAACAGAAGCAAAAGTCACTGCGGCGTTCATATCGTTACTTTCGTCTTCTTGTGACCTCATCAGTTCCTCCGCAAGTTCTGCTCCCACTCTCTTAGATAGCCGTCTCAATTTGACGCGTAAAGCTTCGTTCTCACTAACGACTACTAGAATCTGGTTTTGGTCGCTTGATTGAATTTCCTCGCGTTCTGTTCCCTTCTCCAAGGTGAACGTTTCCTCAGCTTTCAGGTACGGAGATTTTGGGTTTCTTTCACCTTCTGAAATGGTAATTATTGGCTCCTTTTCGTCAACACGAACTATCTGAGCAAATTTTACTTCCTCTGTCAGAGCCGTTCTGAACACCAATGGACCAGTGCCAACATTTTCGTCTTCTTTTAGTCTATTTTCGTAGTTTTGCAGAACATTAGCTAATGTGACTTGATTTTCCTTGACAGTTCTCAACGCCTGCAAGTCATTAATAGGATCCTGGGAACCTTTTTTTACTCCGTGCGGTAACTTCAGCAACTCTTCAGCCAATTCCACTCCCACCGTGAGAGTTAGTTTTTGCAGCCTTTTGTTGGACTCCAGATTTTCAGTGCTTAGTTTTTGAATTTTCTCCTCATATTCTGAAAAACATTCAGTGGCTGAACTATTGGCCAAACCTTCCGTCTCTGTCAATGCACGAAGGGCACCGTTTTCCCTTTTAACTTTGTCTAACTCTCTTTCATAACCGAGAATAACCTCTCCCAAGGTCTCCTCTTTCTCCGCCATCAATGCCGAGGCTTCAAAAAGAGGCTGTTTGTCGGTGCAAGAGCTCTCGGAGAGATTGTCCATCAAAATCTCATTAAAGAGATCGCTCCCGACTTGATGGTAGAGTTTTGTAAGTGTACCTTCTTTCTTGGTGAGCTCCTCGTTTTCATTATGCTTTGCTTCGATTTCCTTTTCGTATTCGTCTAAAACATCTGCGAGTGACTTTCCTTCATCTTCCATTCGTCGGACTGCATTATGGTAAACGTGGTTGCTTTGCGATGTCGGTGTTTTATTCGATGTGTTCAATATTTCATTAACGAGTTCCCTACCAACTTTATCAGATATCACGTCAAGCTCATTGGCAAGGATCTTTTTCACGGTCTTGAGTTCATCTATTTCACTTTCTTGGGATGTAGCAATCGATAGTATGTCACCGGACACCAGTTCCTTAAGCGTTAAGATTTCGTGATCCTTCTCCTTTAGTTCGTTTTCGTAGTCTTTTAAAATATCCTCGAGGGCGGTATCGTTTTTTCTCTCCATGACCTCCACTGCCCTGAGGACGATCCCTTCAGCTCTATTTTTGCCGAGTGTTTTAAGCTGTTGCACCAAGTCCATCCCGATCCTCTTTTCCAACAGAGTTTGTTCTCGAACTTTGTTTTTCAAGTTTGAAATCTCATCTTCATATTCTGATATCTTGTCTGCAAGTGATAACTTTTCTGTGTCCTCGGAAACAAGATTACGCATGGCAGAAATTTCTCTCTTCATACTCTCGAGTCTGTTTTCGTATTGTTTTGTAACCTCAGCCAGGGTTTTTTGCTCGTTATTCATTATTCTAAGAGCATTTAGAGGTAATATTTCTTCTGTTTCACTAGGGTTTAAGATTTCGTTCGCCACGTCTCGTCCTACCCCATCAGCTAACACACCAAGGTTCGTTTCAATATCCTGTTTTTCTTGGACAAGTTCTTGAATTTTCATTTCGTAATTTGTGACAAGATTTGTTATCGAATCACCATTGTCAATCCCATGTTCTGTGTTGGCGATCGTCTTGAGAGTTTCATTCTCTCTTGACAATTTTCCAATCTCATTTTCGTATTCCTGCATAATGGTTGAAAGTTGCTTTTCTTCATCTTCCATCATCTTGAGTGCTTTTATTGACGGCTTTAACTTCGTTTCCTCCTTAAAGCTCAATCTGAGAATGTCGTTGACCAAATTATCTCCCATTCTTGCGATCAATGTGGACAATTTATTTTCCATTTCTATATTCTTGTTCTTTAAATGTTCAATTTCATCTTCATATTGTGAAATTACGTCGAGAGCAGATTGACCATTATTTTCATCGTCTTTGACTAGCGCCTCAATCGCATTCTTTTCTCTGGTTAATCTCTGCAGCTCCAATTCATAGGTCTCTAAAATATCTGCAAGGGTTGTGTTCTCTTCCTTTAATCTTATGACTGCTCTCCACTTTTGTTTAATTCCCAAAGTCTCTTTTGGAGGAAGCAACAATTCGTTTACGAGCTCAGATCCAACTTTTTCTCTCAAAATTTCCCATTGTTCAGCGCTTGAAAATTCAACATCACCAGATTTTGTAGTTAACATTGCTTCGTAAGACTCCAGAACATCTTCTAAGGTTGTTTCCTTTTCTTGCATGATTTTCGTAGCTTTATACTTTGGTGTTTTGATTGATCTGTGCCCTTCCTCGGGGGCGTTTAATTCAACCTTCACTGACATGACGTCCTTTGCAAGTTCCAGACCAATGCTTTCTTTAAGAGAGCTGAATTCTTCCTTCAAACTTTCATACTGGGTTTTCAATTCTTCAATTTTGTCTTCATATTCATTGACTATACTCGTAATCGTGGGCGTGTTTTCCTCTTGACCTGGATCAGCTTCTCGGAACGCTCTCAGTTCTCTTTCATATTTTCTCAAGATGTTCTCTAAAGATTTGCCCTCTTCCTGCATTATCAAGGGAGCTTTTAAATCTTTTTCTCCCTTCTCCACCTTCAGCACTGGATTTTCAAGGTCTCTCGCAAGATCTTGACCAATACTCTTTCTCAGGCTTTTCAACTGGTTTTCTAGGCTCCTATTCTCGATTTGCAAATTTTCCAACTTCCCCTCGTAGTCTTTCACAAGTTCTGAAATCAAAGAGCTGCCGCCAGTCCCGTATGGAACTAGATTCGAGAGAGCTTCAATATCCTCTTCATATTTCTTCAAAATATCTTCAATAGTGTTTCCATTGTCTCTCATCAGAGCCTTGGCCTTCATTTCTAAAGGCTGCCTGTCTAGTCTTTCCGTGGAGGGTGTTGTACATTTCTCCTCTGATTTAGTTAGAACTTTGTCCTGGGAACTAAGGTGGTCCGTCGGTGCTGCATCCACTATGTCCCGGGTCAGGTTCTCCCCTAGTGCACCAATCAAGACTTCGTTTTCTTCTTTAAGGGCCTTGTAATTCCGCAAGTGAGTGTCTATATCATCTGCTTCGTGCAAGTCTTTGCTCAGAGAACCGGTAGTAATGATATGAAGTCCAAGTGCATCCTCGTAAGTTGCAAGAACACTCTCTAGTGTTTTATTGTCCTTACGCATTATTTTGGGTGCTTTAAGCTGTTTCTCTGATTCGGAAGATTCTTTTTTCTGTCTAGGGTTGCGTGCAGCGTCGGAAGATTCATCCCTGTCTACCCCTTCGTCGAATAGCCCCTCAATTTCTTGAACCAGATTGATACCGAGTCTGTCGTTTAAGGCGCTGGAATTTAGTTTCAGATCCTTAATCTCGGTTTTAAATTCATTGAGTTGATCTTCGTAGTCCTTGATGATGTCTGAAATTGACACTTGTTGGCTGTTCTCTTGGTCAGAGACTAATTTATGAAGGGCATCGAGTTCTTTCTCGTAACAATTTATAACAGTCTCTAATGATTTTTGTTCCTCTGCCATAATCTTTGGAGCCTGAAGCTCACTTTTCCTTAGCTCTTGAAAACTGTCGTCATTTTCAGCCCTCTTCGACAAATTTTGATTTTCCACGTCAACCATGAGATCTGGACCGAGTTTTTCCTCTAAGAACCCTAAACGATTGGTTAGATTGCTTCCCTCATTTTTTAAGGCATCGATCTCGCGCTCATATTTTAGCACCAGATCAGAGATAGACTCAACTGATTTGCCCGGTTGGACGGGAACAAGGGACTTCAGAACTTTTAGCTCCTTCTCGTAATTTTTCAAGATGTCTTCTATCGTTTGTCCTTCCTCCTCAATGAAAATTTCAGCTTTTAGTTCTTCTGACGACAAAACATTACTTTGAGGCTTCCTTTGATATTTTGAGCTCTTCGAAAATCTGTTCTTGTCTACAGAGGGGTCTTTTGTTTCCACAGTTTCTCCGTCTTCGTGTTCATTATTGCGAGCACCACTGTAATCATCCTTTGTGATATCTAATAGTCGTTTTGACAGAGTTGGACCGATGCGACATTTCAGAATTTCGTTTTCTTCCTTTAATTTCTCGATGGGGCTGTTGTAATCAGCCATGATATTCCCTACGTTTAATTCATCGGAGAATGGTAAGGCATCACTTAAGAGAGCTCCAAGGGCACTCTCGTAGGTTTCTAAAACATCTTCCAAAGTTGACTTCTTTACATCCATGATCTTGGTTACCTTTAGATCTTTGTCTTGTTTTTCTGACCTGAGTTCTGAGCTCTTATCGTCTTGCATGGCACCATCGGTTTCCTCACTACTAATTTCGTTCAGTTTTTTAATATCTCCAACAAGTTTGGGCCCAATCCGTTGAATCAGTCTGTCTGAGTCAAGTCTCTGCCTCTCACTTTCTGCTCTTAGCTGGTCAACCTTATCTTCGTAGGATTTAATGATGTCGGCTATAGAACCTACTTCCTCTCCGTCACTTGGTACGAGACTCCTTAGGGCAGTGAGCTCCTTTTCATACCTGTTAATTACATTTTCTAGAGTTTTTCCCTCACTCTGCATAATCTCTGGAGCCTTTAAAGTATTCGCCATATCATCGTCTTCATTTTTTTCATTTTGAAGAACTGAGTCTTTCTCTTGCTCACCCCCCTCTATTTTATCTAAAAGAGCGGTTCCGATTCTCAGCTCTATGTCCTTCAGCCTGCTTAACAAGTGGTCATTTTCTTTTTCCAGTTTAGTGATCTTTTCTTCACAGTCTGTGGCCACGTCAAGAAACGATACTCCCTCGTCAGAGGATAGTTTTTTTGATACTGTTCCCAGCTCCTTTTCGTACTTTCCCAATACATCTTCTATAGTCTTGCCTTCATCTCTTATGAGTGACTGAGCTTTCAGATAATCAGAGCCAGGAATTGAGCTAACGTCCTCTTTATCGTTGTTATTGTTGTCAAATGACTGAAGCACCCGGTCTGATCCTTTTTCCAGTGACATCGAAGTAAATGGCTCTTTGCTGTCTATACTGTCGACCGCACATTGCTCTTCTGAATCAATTAACAATGGTGTCTTCTTTTCTGCCGCTAAATTTAACAGAAAATTGGCCAGCCTTGGCCCAACAGAGGCCTTCAAAGTTTTATTTTCGTTTTCCTTTTCATCCAGATCTCGTTCATAAAACTCTAACTGCTTTTCCAAGGGGAATACCCTCCTATTCTTTGTCTGCAGCTTCTTGGGACTTTCTTGCTCCTTACTTGTCTTTTCTGTACCATCTAAAGGCCTCTTTGCTCCTTTAAGGTCTTCAAAAAGACTGCTTCCGATATTGTCTTCAAGATTATCAAGGATATGTGTCAGATCCTTGTTTTTTCCCTGTAGGTCTTTGATTTTCCCTTCGTACTCTTTGACAATGTCAGCTATTTCATTATCTTCACCAGGCATCAGCTTCCTTAATGCCAACAGCTCTTTTTCGTAGTTTTTTATGACGTCTTCTAAGTTTTTCCCCTCACATTTCATCAGATTAATAACGCTAATGTCCATTTCCTCATCGCAAGAATCATCTTTCTGATCGTCTTTTTCTCTTTCCTTCTTAAAACTGTCCAACGAGGAATAAAGGTCTGCACCGACCGTGTCTTCGAAATGCTGCAACTTTTTCATTAAGATCTTTTCTTTGTCTTCTAATTTTTCGATGGTATTTTGGAAATTTGCAATTAGGTCAGCCACGTTAACGTCATCTTCGTTTTCTCCGATAGTAATTTGTCCGATTGCATCCAATTCTTTTTCGTATCTTTTTAAAATGGCTTCAAGATTCAATCCTTCATCTCTGAGAAGAGAAATAGCTTTTAAATCATCCGACCCTGTTTTTGTATCATCTTTGTCAAGTTCGCTTCGTAATGGCTGGTGTGTGTCCTTTGTGTATGTATCCGTTTTCTTTCTCACATCTTGATTTTCACTAGTGGGCCTACGTTTGTTTGACAAATCTTCAGTTGGAGGAAAACGAGCTTCCAGTTCGTTTGCATCAAATTTATTACACGAAAGACAGTCCTCCTCTTCTGCCATTACCAATAAAGCCTCCGCCAAATCTTTACCGATACCATCCCTATATACTTTGTTTTCTCTTATAAGTTCCTCAAGACCTTTTTCATACCTTGCCACAATATCTTCTAACGGCTTTTGAGATTCATTCAATATTTCAATGGCCTTCAGGGCTCTCTTTGTCTTCATCTGATCATTTTCCTCTTTCTCGGTGGTCTCTCCCTCGTCCATTCCTTCAAGGTTGTGAACCTCTGGTTGAAGGTCTTCAAATAGTTCATCACCAATTTTTCCCCGAAGTTCTCGCAACCTATCCTTGAGAGTATTGTTTCTATTGGCGAGGCTTTCAAGTTTGTCCTCATAGTCTTTCACGATACCTGATATGGTACCCCCCTCCCCTCCTTGGTCTGGGACCATTTTTCGGAGGACTTCTAATTCTTTCTCGTAATTTCTCAGGACGTCTTCCAATGTTCTGTTCTCACCTTTCATGACAATAGGGGCCTCTAAACGCGAACGCTTCGTGCCATCGAGATCAGTCCCATCAGACTCTTTGTCACTTTTATTTATATTTTGTAGGTCATCCGTTAGGTTAGGTCCGATTTGATTTTCGAGGTGATGCAACATCTCTAGAAGCTTTCTCTTCTCGTTTTCCAATTCTTTATTGCTATCCTCGAGGTCCTTCATCGGCTCCCTTATTGAGACTCTCTCCTCTGTCTCACCAGTAGGTAGTTTTTGCACTGTTTCCACCTCTTTCTCTTTCTCATTTAAGACATTTGTGATTGTTGGATCTTCGTCTTGCATAAGTTTAGGAACTTGAGATCTCTCTTCTTCAAGAGAAACGAATTTGTCATTCCAACCATCCTTACTTGAGCGGTCTATGGTTTTCGAAGATTCGGGCTTAAGTTTCGTGATAGGTGTAGCTTGAGTTTCTTCTTTGGCCGTAAGGCTCAGGTCCGTGGCCTCCTGATCTCCGATTGCTCTTTTTAAAATCTCATTTTCTCTTTTAAGGTCATCGAATGTACGCATCTTGACATTAACAAAGTTCTCGTCATTTGGATAGCTCGGAAAGAGTCCTAAAGCTTTCTCGTATAATTCCAAAACGTCCTGTAGAGATGAATCGACATCTCTTTTCATGATAAGTGGTGCATTTAGTTGACTGGCGTTGTTTCCTTTAACCATTTCGTTCTCGGATTTAAGATTCTCATCAGGCAATGAGGCCAAAATATCTTGTACTAGGTCAGTACCAACTCTGTTAGCCAGTATGTCGTAATTATCGTGGACATCCTTGTTTTTGCTTTTAAGATCATCGATTTTTTCTTCATAGTCTCTTACAATGTCTTCCACACAAGTATCCTCGCCTTGGTTTGAATATAGTTTTCTCAAAGCTTCCAGTTCCTTCTCGTAATTTTTTACTATCTTCTCAAGCGTTTGATCATTCTTTTGCATCATTATTGGTGCCTTAATGTCATCTTCCAGACCTATTTCAGCAACTTCCTCTTTCTTTTGACAATCTTCGTTTTCCAAATTTTCCAACTTGTGCAGAAGATTTCTCCCTATCACTTTCTCTAGACCAGCAAAGCGATCTGCAAATGCCTTGTTTTCTTTTTCCAGATCTGACATCCTGTCTTCGTCATTTGATATCACTGGTAAAATTGAGACACCCTCATCATTCTCATCAGTAACTAGGTTCGAAAGTTCGTCTATCTGTTTTTCGTACTTTCTTAAGATATTCTCCACGGTTTCACCGTCGTCCTGTAGCAAAGATTTTGATTTTAAATCATATTCACATTCACCACTTTTTATTTCAAGGGATTTTGGATCGCGTTCGTACGGGAATCCTTGATCTGTTTCGTCTTTTCCTGAGGACTCTTCATCCCTGAAACCCGAATGCGGAACTAGAGTATGATAAAGGTCGTTGCCAAGTTTTTCTTTCAACAGGCTAACTAGGCCCTGAAGTTCGTTAATTTCTTCATTAATTCTGTCTTCGTAGTCTTCTATTACCTCTTCAAGAGTCTTTCCACTCGTTGCCATTAGCTCAGGTGCTCGTAATTCTTTTTCCAGACTGTTTACTCCCTCAGTGCTAAATAGTACAGGTCCTCTGCCCGATAGTGCGATATCGTTTTCTTTTGGAAGGTCTTCGTCCTGTGGTTTGTCTTCTCTCTCTTTGTCCATTTCTTCATATGCAAGACCTATTTGAGGTACTTTCGCCCCTTCTTGGTCGCCTCTCTCGCCTCTTTCCTTAGTACTCAGTGTTTCCAAACCTAGTAAAGTGTTTGTCAAGGATGGTCCTAGTTTAGACCGCAAAGAGTCCAGTCCATCTTCATAAGATGCTATAACATCAGCAAGAGTTTTCTGACTCTCCAGTGCAATATTAGGTGCCCTCAGAACCTTCTTGTTTGAGGTATCATCCCCTGGTTGGTTTTTCTGTGATGCGATTCCCTTGTCACCCTTTACGTCCGTGATTCTTTCCTCTTGTAAGAATACTGCTTCGTCGCTTTGAGGCTTTCTGTCGTCTTGTTGTTGGTCGGTGATTTCAGATTGTTGTTGATGCATCTCAATGTTGTTTACTTCAACTTCATCGTTCATAAGATCGTCCAGGTGATCTCCTTCTTTATCATCTATCAAGGCATTAACAAGATCTGTTCCAAGTCTTTCCCTCAGGATATTTAGCATTTCCATGTTTTTCTTCTGAGCGTCAACGATACCCTCCACTGTTTCGTTCGTCACACTAATGTCGTCTGACTCTTCTATTCTGGCTTCATTCACTCTTGTTGGCGTTTCTGCTCCCATCCTCGCTTCATGCTCTCCTATTTCCTCTACTGGTTTTTCAAGAGTTCTTTCGTACTGAGCTATGACGTCTTCGAGTGTTTTCCCACTAGCTCTCATTATAAGCGGTGCATTGAGTGGTTGTTCTATTATTTCTTCTTCCTCGAAAGCCAAATCAAGAACGTGTCTATCGGCTGAAGAATCGAAAAGCGATGCAAAAATGTTATCTAGTACTGGTGGTAAATCATTTGGCTCAATACTTGATCTTTTATCTTGTTCTGTATCTTCCAATATATATTTATCTCCATTCAGGATTTCCTCAGAAAAGCTTGCATTTGTTTGACTCTTGGGGTCTTTATTTTCTAGAGTCTCGTTTTTAGGAGCACCATGAAATCCAGCTTTCCCTTTCGTCTTCCTTCTTCTTCTCTTTTTTCCTTTCTTTCTGATTTCACTTTCGGTATCTTCAAGAGCAGTGATATCAGTATCTGCATCTTCCAGACTACTATACTCACTTTCTACAACCAATGTCTTCTGTTCAAGCTCTTCCCCTCTCGCACTTTTCACGTCTTGAACCCCAGGTGGCATTTCCTGTTCGGTATCTTTGATACTAATAGGCGTCTCACTTGTTTTACCCATTTGCAGGAGAGCTCTAGAAAGATCTTTTCCAAGTCTCTCCTTCAGTAAGCTATTTTCTTGGGATAGATTATCCAGCTCTTTTTCGTACACCCCGATTACATTTTCAAGATCCTCGCCATAATTTCTCATGATTGTAATAGCTGAAATGTGCGAATGAGGATTGGGTCTCTGTCTAATGTGTGGTTTGTCTTCCATGCTCAAGATATCACGTAACAGGTCGTTACCAAGCATGTCCCTAACTAATTCTTCTTTGCCTCTCTGATCGCGCAATATACTTTCCAAAGTCTCTCCTCGGTTCCGCACCGCGTCAACAACGTCTTCAAATTCTGCCGCTTCACTTGGTAGTCTTTCACTTAACAATACATCGAGTAGCTCCTCGCCAATCATATCTTTAAGTGTTTCCAAATCTGAATTAAGTTCGCCATTCATATCGCTGAGTTGTTGATTTTCTTCGTTCATATCAGTGAGTATGTCACTGATTGTTACCCCGTTAGCTTGCATCTCGTCGATCACTGCTTGGTGTTGATTTTCATCCTCCGGCTTGTATCCTTCAAGATCAACTGTTGCGAGGGAATTGACAAGATTTTCACCAATTTTAGAACTCAGCAAATCCATCATATTTTTCAAATTCTCGCTATGTCTTTGAGCAGCCAGTTTTGAATCCTGCCGTTCTTTCATCAGCTCTGTTAGCGTCTTTTCATCTCTTGCCATTTCTTCCAAAATATCGTGATTGTAATAGCGCGGTATTGAGTTCCTATTTTTCCCTAGTTTTTCAGCTAATTTGCTCAATATTCCTGATCCGCGTATTTTGTCAGAGATTTGCTCTTTTCGTTCTTCAAGTTCCCTCCTTTGCTGTTTTAAATCTTCCATGACTTCGTTCATTTCCTCGTCTTCGAATTCTACGTGTAAATTTGCCTTTTTGTTTTGCAAATCATCCAAATGGCGTTTTTGTTCCTTTCTTTTTTCGCGAAGTTCCTCAATATCGGTTGGGCGTTCCTGTTCATCCGAATCGCTCTCGTAGTCATTTTCAAGAGCTCTATCGATTTCGGCCAAATAATCTCTTAAATCCTCTTTTTCAACTAGCAACTTTTTAAGGTCAAGAATGTCCGCGTGAATGGAATCATTACTTTCATTGACCTCTTTCTTGAGAAAATCTAATTGTCCCTCTACTTCTTGTAACTTCTGGTTGCCTTGTTCGATCTCATTCTGTAAAACGTCCAATTCTTGGTGTAGTGCCACCTGTTCTTCGCCAGAGAGCTTCTCTTGTTCACTTATGTTAGCTTGCATTTCCTCTAAAGCAGCTTCTACTTCTGTCTTTGCAGTTCTAAGCCTTTCCTTCAAAGGTTTCATTATTTCATCTGATTTCCCTATTTCGAGCCTTAATTTCTTCAATTGTTCCTCCTTAGAGTCTTTTTTCGCTTCTATCTTTTCAATTTTCCTTTCTCTACGATCAATCATATCATTCAGCTTTTTAAGATCGCTTTCAAGCTGTATTTTTCTTTGATGGCGGTCTTTGTTTGTTTCAGGGCCAGAGCACTGTTCCCCAGAGGAAAATTCCATTTGCTTCAGGAAATCTTCAAAACGTTGAGTTTGTTGAAGGTCTTCTTGTAGCTTAGCCTTTTTGGCAATCAGAGTTGTTATTCCTTCAAGAGCAACCGTTTTGGGCTCATTTGAAGGGTCACAACCTAGCAATATGACTTCGAGGCGATTGTCTATTTGAGAGAGGCTTTCTTCTAGTTCTCTTCGCTTTTCCTCGATTTCTTCACCCAGTTCTATTTTACCAGTGCCCATCTCTTTCTCGCATTTCTCACCAACTGTAGACAAAGGTACTTCTGTTTCACCTCTTTCGTTCTGCCCTTCATGGGTCTCTTGAATGGGTTTTTCTAACAGTGCATCATCAATGGTCAGCAGCCTTGAAGTGTTGCTATCATCATCTCGGCATTTTGCTCGCTGTTCAGCATCTGCTTGTTTCTCATTCTGTTTTCTCAGTTTAGAAGGTAACTTAAATCTATCCTCTTTAGCATCGAGCTCATCCATCCCTATAAGTCGTGAATCTACAGGTAACTTCTCTTCAATTATATGTTTAAGAGCATGTTCGATCTCAGTAAGATCTTGCCTCTTTCGTTTTGCCTCTGTAAGGTTTTCAGCTTCTCCTTTGACAAGGTTTTCCATCAATTGTTGTTTTTGGCACAGTTCCTCTCTCTCCTCATTGACCATCGGTGTTGCCTCTGCACTAAGAATTAAACGTGCTTCCATAACGAATGTTTGGATTTCGTCAGAAATACTCTCGTCATTTTTTTTGTTGGTATGATCAGCAATTATTTCTTGTAACCCCTGTACCACGTCCGTAGCATGTTCTGTATCAATTCTCAAATCTCTGGCAACTCCAGCTTTCTGTTTAAGAAGATCAACCAACATCTCAGATGCCCGTGCTGTTTCATTGTCTATCGCATCTTGAAGTTTATCTATCTCGTCTTCAAGTTTAACCTTTTTTTCAACAAGCTCTTCTATGAATTCTGATTGTGGTCCTCTTAGACCGCCTGTGCTGAGACTCTGCAATATCTTCTCATTGGTACCCTTTAGTTCTGAAATTGAATTTTCTTTTCTCTCTATAAGCCCCTTGATATTAGAGTCTGATTCTCTATTTATCTTCCCATTCTTCTTGAACTGCATTGCATTAATGAAATTTTGCTGTTCTTGAAAAATATCACCATCTAGAGCATGAATCTTTTCCATCAGACTTTCTCTCTTCAACAGGAGGACCTCTAGCTGTTTAACTTCGGGGTTGTGTTCATCCACACGAATTGAGTTATTCTTAAGCAATTGATCCAGCTTGACTTTCTCTCTTGATAACTTTTCTTTTTCCTCCAAAGCCTGAATAATTTGTATTGGATCGCTGAAGCCCGCCTCTCTCAGTTTACTTTCTTCTTCATTGATTTTTTCTTTCAGGCATTGCAATTCCTCTTCAGCTGCGACCTTATAGCGTTGAGCGACGCCCACTTTCTCAGCTGTCGTGATATTATCGGTAAGTTCCTGTTTAAGCTCATATGGCAAGTCAATTTTATTATTTGCCAAGTCCAGTTCTTCACTCTCTGTCTTTATTTCTACCTCCTTTTCTCTAATACCTTCGGCTTCATCGAAAAGTCGTTTCTCATCCACCAAAAGGTGCTTAGAGTCAATGTGTACAAGGTCATCGACATGATCCGTCGGATCTTTAGGTACGTCTTCGCTCTCGTTACCTGGTAGCAAGCCCATTAAATCAAGAGAGTTCCTGATTCGTGCTAGTTTTCTCTTAAAGGGCCTCAATCTGTTGACCCTCTTTCCTAGCATTCTGCCACATCTCTCAATCTCATTTTCTGTCCTTTTTATTTCCTTCTCAAGCTTTTCTCTCTTCTTTTCTGCGTCTGCATTACTTCTAACAAGTGACATCATTTCAGTCGGAAATTCGTCATTACTCTGTCCTTCAGGATACCCATTGTTCTTGGTTTTGGGAATGCCTTCCTCTAAAGCTGCGAGCTGAAGTTTCAAACTAGTCAAAGATTTCTCACAGCCTTCGTTTTCCTCTTCCGACGCCTTCTTTGCTGCCTCTAGCATCTTGCTTTTATATTTAAGTTGTTGTGCTTTCTCATTAAGATCATCTTTTAAAACATCCATCTTACACATGAGACCAGAGATCGTCTTGTCCTCTTTGCTTCCTAACTCCACCATTGCTTCTTTCTGTTCATTTAACAGATTGCTAATCTCATCAAGTTTTGTACAGACGTTCTCTTTTTCTTTCAGAAGATGCTCGGTTAGCTCTCTATCATCATTCCTTCTTAAACATTTTTCAATTTCTCCCAGTGAGCGCAACACCTCAATTTCCTCGTTTTCCAGTTGCTTGTTAAGATCTGCTGACCAATCACTTCCTGTTGCAGCAAGTTCTCTTATCTGAACATCGACTTGTTTCAGTTCATCTGTAAGTTGTTCGTTCTCCACGTACAGATCATTCATATTTTGTAATAGATCTTTACCTTCTACTTTCCCGTTCGTAAGTTCTGGAATTTCTTCGACAAATTCTTTCCCTACTAGTTCACAAAGCAAACTGAATTTATCATGTAGCATTTTGTTGCTTGTATCCAGCTGCCTTATGAGATCTTTGTCGTCAACTGGAGATTTGCTTCGTTGCAATTCTAACCAATCGTCCACAGCATTGTCTGCTGTTCGGGATTGTGCATCGCAGGAGTCAGTATGGTTTTCATCTCCCGAAAAATCAACTATGTTCTCGCTACTGGGTTTCTCCGAGTTTTTGTCGTCCTTATTTCTCTCTAAGCTCTCACCTTCTTCACCTGACTCAAGAGAGGGTTGAATTGTTGGGTTTGCTTCTTCAGGTCTAGGTGGGCATTCCTCCGAATGAGTTCCTCCTTCACCTTCTTTACTTTCCATTTCATGGCCAGTAGCAACCGCGTCGTTTTTATCCAGAGTTTGGCATGCTGCATCTTTCTTGAAAATACAAGCTTTCTCCTCGCTTGCCAAAACTTTAGGATCGGTCCCATCTCTTTCTTCACATGCTTCTCCCTCTGTTGTTCCTTCATCTTTCATATTACCAGGAGCATTTTTTTCACTCCTGTCTCCTTTTGAATCTCCATCCATTTGAGACGACCCATTTTCGTTCTCTGTCTGATTATCCCCCGAGTCTTCCTCTTTAGTGTCATCGAAATGCTCTGACATCGGGATACTGTCTTCAGCGACAGCTTGTGCTTCAGATTGTTGTTTATCTTTATCTTTGTTGTTTATTTCGCCACACGTTTCGCTGCTACGAATAGATTCATTGTTTCCTAATTCCTCATCCCTATCCACTGAGTTTTCTGTTTCGGGTTTTTGCTCTTTTTCTTGATCTTCATTTTCATCTTCATTTTCTCTGAAAGCCTCCTCTTCTTTTGCTCCCTCGTTGCGGTGAGGCTTTTTTGGAGAGCCGTCATCCTGACGTTTAGCTGGCAACCCTGACCTCTTGTCCGCGTCGTCCGAGTCGTCCTTTTTAATATTGCTGTTTTGAAGAGAATCCTCGTGGTTGTTATCGTCACCCTGATTTATCTCCTCTTGAGGAATACCTGTATCTAGTTTTTCGTCTTTCAAGCTATGGTGCAGCTGTTCTTCACTTTCATCAGATGTTTCTCCTGGAGCGTCCCTCTCGTCATTGATCTTTCTTTTGGCGTCTTCTTGTTCCTCCCCTTTCAAATCTCTATGGGGGAGCTCTGATGCCTCATTATCGCCCCTCGTAGTAGACGACCTATTGAGTCTCTTCTCAGTTTCTAGGGGACGTTCGCCTTCATTATCTTGCTCTGACCAGTTCTCTTGATTAGCACTTGGTGTGTCATGTATATCAAATGTCTGTGTTTCAATGTTCTGTTTGGATATTAGGACTCCGTCCTTACCAAACTGAGTTCTGTCAACTAATTGCTTGATGCCACTCAGCATCTCATTCTCTAGATCGTTTCGTTTATCGCGAAGCGAGTCTTTAGCTTTAGCTAATTTTCTCATGACTTTCTTTAAACTGTCTCTGTATTCTCCATAGTATACTCTGCTCAGATTGAATCTCTCGAGATTAAAGGCAAAATCTAGGTGAGCTTTCTTAATGTTTAATGTGTCACCTTCCGTTGACTCAGGCCCAGAATACGCTCCCTCGTCGCTTTCTTCTTTTGCAGCTGTCGGACCAGAATCCTCGGACTCTAAATCTGAGCTCGCACCAGAAGTTGATTCAGAATCGTAAACGGAATCCTCTTCGTCGTTGAGAACTAATTCGACAAGGTTCTCCAGGGCAGCCCTTAACTCTTCTCTATTGCAAATCTCACCCTGGGATACCACAAGTCGTTTACCATTTCTGTGGTTCGCTTTCCCTATGGTCGATGATACCACTAAGTGCGGGGAGTCTTCACTAGGAAATCGCTGTCGGTCGTTTTGTTTCTCTTCCTTTTCTGAGATTGACTGCGTGTTGGACATTTCTTTTATTAAATCAATGGCATTTTTGAGATTGGCAACGGCTGTTTCATGTTCTTTTTGCCTTTTTTTCTGTAAATCAGCTATTTCTTTCTTCAGTGGAATTGTAAGGTTCAGGTTTCCTTTCTCTCTTTCAAGTCGATCTTGCTCTTTCTGTCCCTTTTCAGCTTTACTCCTTTCAGGAGTACTTCTTTTCTGGGTGGCAAGGAGTTTCTTCATTGCGTCATTTTTTTCTTGCAACAATCTTAGCTCCATATCACTCTTTTCCGTCAGCAAACTGTGCAAATCTGCAATGTCTTTTTCGTATTTCAGGACAATGTCCATCTTGTCACGATCGTGATCCTTTTTCATTTTCTCTGCCTTTCGATTAAGAGAACGTTCCAATTCATCCTTCATTTCCAAGTGGTAAAGCCTGCCCAAGTAGAATCTTTCAAGATTGAAAGCTTCCTCCAAAGTAGACTTCTGCCTTAGGAGATTTTCAATAATCTCCCCGTCAGCGCTCATCACAAATTCCTTATGCTGTGTATGTAGTTTTTCCATAAGTTCCTCCTTTTCAGTTTTGAAATGCCTTTCCAGTTCTCCGATTGATCGTTTCATTTCTTCGTTCTCTTGCCTAAACTCTTCCACCATGCTTGAGGAAGAATGTGTACTGTTCTCACTATTGGTTCTTTTCGTGCTATCATGACTGATTTTCTCGTGCCTGATCTCAAGGTCATCTGTTACTGTTCCTTTTTCCTCAGTGACCTTAAACGTTATATAATCCGAGGTTTTGACTTCACTTTCGTCTTGCTCTTGTAGATATCTCAGTGCCAGCTGTGCCTCTTGGACCCTTACTGTCTTTTCATCTGCCAGCTCCTTCAGTAACTCGCTGATTTCTTCTTGGTGTCTTTCTCGTAGCTGTAATTTTTCAACTTCATGTGATATGTGTGCATTATTCAACACCGCTTTAATATTTTCTTTTAACTGGTAGTTACCAGAATTGTCACTTTTTCCATCTGTTCCTTCATCGGTCAGAATATCATCCAGAGCAAGAAGGTGATCGGAGAGAGAAACTGCTGTCTGTGATCTGATTTGGATCACATCATTGCATTCAACTTTGTTATCGCAAAGCTTGTCCATTTCCAAGATTGCCTGATTGATTGCTTCCTTTAGCTGCTTATTGCATTTGCCAAGTTGTTCCAAAGTATCCTCCTTTTCTTTATCAGTAAGACATTTCCTCAATCTTTCTTGGATTTGCTGAATACCTTTGCTTATATCTTTTTGTTGGACGCTCTGTGGTCTCTCCTCCTCTTTAATTTCTGTCTTTTCCAAAAAGTGTACATCATTTTCCTTCCCTTCGAATTTGCCTTCTTCTTCCTTCTTTTCTCCTAATGGTTTTTTGTTTTCTACTGCGTTAGATTCATTGCTCCCAGTTGCGTAGCTGCATGCGATATCACCTGCGTCGATCTCAACGAAGTCATTTTCTAGAACGCTCTGACTGGTGGCAACAATAGGGCGTTCTGGTGTTTTTTGGATTTCTTCCAGCTTTCCCTTAAGAATTTCGATTTCCTTTTGTAAATTTGCCTTTTCATTCTCACTGTTTTTCCTCAGTTCATCTTTCTCCTTTGCAAATTCTTCCATTTTCGCAGAAAGTTCCCGATGATGCAGTGTTTCAGCCTCCTTCATGTTTTTCTCGAATGCTTGCAGATTGATTTGCATATTTTGCTCCAGGTTTTGACACTGATTATTTTCCTTGTAAAATTTTTCTTCCATTCTATTCTTTTCGCTGGCAAACTCCTCCATCTCACCGGCCAAATCTTCCAGTTTCTGCTTGGAGACTTCCAGTTCTTTTCTCTGATCCTCGACAATTTTCTTGAGTCCATCAAGTTCTCCCTCGTACATGTTTCGCATGTCGTCTTCTCTCTGTTGAATTTCCACTTGCTTTTCATTTATCATCTCTTTATATCGCTGTTCAAGGTCATTCCGTTCAAATTCAAAACTCTTTAACAAATTGAACTGCTCTTTCCTGAATTCTTCCTCCAAACTCTCCTTCTCACTTTCAAATTGCTTTTTAAGGTTCTCGATCTCCTTTCGATGTTTGTTTTCTAATTCTTTGATAGGTTGCTGGCCCCTTTTAATTACTTCTATCTTCTGCTTGTGTTGTCTATCCATTTCAGTCAACGCTTCACCATGTTCTTGTTTCAGTTTGGCAATTTCGTCGATGAGAGCGACTTCCACGTCCTCTTTGGTCGGCCGATCTGGCTTAGTAAGCAAAGATAGTTCACGATTATAGACATGAGCTAAACTAAATCTTTCGATTTGCAGTGCATTCAGCAAATCTCTTTTCTCTTTTTCAAGCTCATCAATGGTTTCTTCCTTTTCAAGGAGCTTCTCGTTACAACCGATCTCTAAACTCTCCTGCAGCTCTCCTATCTCGCGCTTAAATTGTTGAATCATTCTTGTCTTTTCAAGGTCAAATTTCTCAGAGAGCAACCTTTCGGTAACCTCTAGCTTAAACTGTAATTCCTTTTGGTGATCTTCTTGGATTCTCTGCCTCTCCTCCTGAAAGTAACTATTCGTTCGTTCGGTCTGATTCGTAAAAACTTGCACTAGTTCTGCCTTTTCTCGATCAGATTTCCTCTCTAATTCTAATTTTTCATTGTCAAATTCTTCCCTGGCTCGTTTTAACTCATTTTCATGCTCTATTCGTTTTATGTAAACATCGCAGTCTGGCGAGGTTCGAGTAAAGCCGTCTCCGTTCTTCTGCATTCGCAAGAAATCTCGTCGCAGCATTTTTATTTCTTCGTTTTTATCTGCGATGACATCTTCAAATTCGCGTCTCATTTTAGACTTCTCTTCCTTGAACTTTATTTCAATTTTCCTTTCTTTTAAATGATACTCGTTTGCGTGTTTGGCTTTCAAACTTTCCTGCTCTCGTTCAAATTCGTTTATCTTTTCCACCTGCTGTGAATGAAATCCTTGCAACAGGTCTTTCTTTTCCAGTTCAAAATCATTTCGCATGCTTTCTTTTTCCTGCTCAAACTTTTCAACCAGCTTATTCACTTCTTCTTGATGCATCATACCGATGATTTCTTTTTCCTTGAGAAAACCGCAAACGATGTCATTTTTTTCCGAGGCAAATTTCTGAGCAAGAGCGTCAGCAGTTTCGTTTGCCGCTTCGAACTCCTCCATCTTTTTGCGAGCAAATATATTCACAAGACGATTTTAGACCATCACGTAACACTGTTTTCCTTAAGTGATCTCTTTTAACTTGTCATTTTCAGGTAGCTAGAAAATTCAGTTGATAGAACAGCAGCCGACTAAGTAAAAGTGCGTTGAACTTCAGTTTTGGTAGTAAAGCGCAAAGGGCACATAAATGCGATGCGTATTTCGTTTAATAATTGATTACCCCACAAGCATTGCAGGTAAATAAATGTTTTCTCAGTTTAGGGCCAATGTAAATCGCTCTCATGTTGTTGATTTGGTGTTTTTCACATGACCATGATATATTTAGTTTTTTAAATTTGTGAACACCTTTTGAAGTGTTTATCTTATAATGCAAAACAGAGAAAGTAGGTTTAATTTGAATTAGAATTCCTTGTAAATTAAGCGGCGCAGAAAACCAAACGTTTTATATTTCCAAGAATAGATGAGGAGATAAATACACATCACTGCCACGCAACCACTATTTTCTCCTTAACTTACCTCGAAACGTTTCAAAATGAAGCGTTTGATCAATATATGTTATAGACGAGTGCATACCTTAACAGTAGAATTTTAGATGAAGAGGCTCCTGTTTTAACCCCAATCCACGAGTGTAAATGAATATGCGAATGGGCTTTGCTTCGTATTACGTCTTAACAAAATGTTTTGTATTTGAAAAGAAAGGAATATCCGGGACATTTCCCCCGTGCATTAAGATTTTTGCATATCTAGTCTACTGGATGTTATTCAAACATACTTATTATTGTGTAACTTTGAATAACTGCCAAAATGTGAGCATTTTTAAAGTAATTAGCGGATCCTCTCGCTTGTTTAGTGAATTTCTTAAACTGCATATTGTTATTGAAATTATAGGGGATAATATTTCCTCATTCGTTGACTAAACGTCTCCTTTGTACTATTAACTGATATTTTCCTACAAGTTTCCCCGTGTGACCATGATTGGTTAAGGACATTAAATATTTCAAGACTGAAAAAAAAGTCTTCCAGATGTATCTTTTGTATCTTATTGATTTCTATTTCGCCGAGATGTAACACACAAGCCGGCTTTCCACCAGTTGACGTGGTGCTCCACCCAAGCATCATAGAGGAATAATTTACAGTAATTTACATTATCATGCATTGCAGGAATATCTACAGGCAAGTAAGCGCTCAATATTTCCTTCGAGTGTTCAAGTGGCAATATTGGATGGTAACATTGAGAAAAGCCTTAAGCGAACAGACCAGGGAGGGAAGGGAGGGCCTTCTCGCTTCATTAGTTTTCAATTTTAAAGACCACCTCCAGAGTAAGTAAGTAAGTAACTTTATTAATGTAGTAAAATACGCTTAGCTCATTAAAGTATTGTAAGTATCGCTATTTTGCGGGTATTGTCACAAATAAAAAAATTGCGAGAAGAGGAATGAAAAAACACTAAGATACAAATTTAATCTCAGTCTACGATATAAAAATCTGTGAATATGTCGGTAATAAAATAAAATAAAACTATGTACAGTTCAATAATAATTACGATAAAACCTTTACAGATCAATATAACTGTATGACATTTTTTCTTTTTTCAAGCGTCTTTTAAAGCTACTTAGATTGACTCATGTTTTAATGCTTCCGGCAATGCATTCCATATCTTCGGGGACAGGTATCGCCAAGATCTCAAACCGTGCTTTGTAGAGTTGACCTTGGGTGAGGGTAGAAAATCTGTACCGCGAAGATTATAGGTTGTTGATCTTCGTAGTAGTAGTAATTCTGTGTAAGGACTGCTTTTATCTTTGAGCACGAAGTGCAGAGCTCTTTCGTTTACTTTTTCTAGTTTATCGGATGCGGTTTTGCTGCAGAAATACCACACGTCAGAACAGTTGTCAAAGTGGGGGGCAATAAATGGTGATTAAATTCTTTTCCTCATATCAAGAGGTAGAATGTTTCTCAAACGTTTCAGTACAGCAGGCTGTTGGGATACCTTTCTTATCACATTGGCGATCTGTTTATCGAAGTTGAGTTTGTTGTCAATGGTGACACCAAGGAGAGTGAGGTCTTCACTAACTGGTATCGTTGTATTATCGCAATGGAACTTTTGTTTCGGAGTTTGTAAGTTGCCCGTAACCATTGCTTGATATTTAGAGTGGTTCCATCCCGTTTGCATCATACCATCGCTCAATAGCAGCTAAATCGGTGTTAATCATCTCCTGCAGTTTGTCTGGTTCTGGATCTGAAATTGTTTCTTGGATAGACAGTATGTCAAGAGCCATACAGTCTAGCCATTCCTTGACTTCAACAAATTTTTTTGGTAGACTGTTAATGTTGAGATTAGCAATGATACACTTCTTGCGCGGTTATCATTTCCTAGCTGTCGAATAGCGGCTAAGGCTCCTGCATCCTGTTCGACATCGGTAGTGGAATTGTCATCAAGTGACGTGTTAGACTGGACATCTTCGTGATTGTTTGATATGATAGCTTAATTGAGAAAGGGCAACTCCGAGAGGCAACAACGGTGACATGCCCTCATTATCAGTGCCTTGCGATCGATAGCAGGGACGTCAGTAATAATAAGTTGACACAGCGAATATGACCCACCTCAGCGCATTTGTCGCATAAGTATCTGAGCTAGTTTGATTTACGCGGTTTTTCACAGAATTGGCATTTGGGAGCATATGGTTTAGATTCAGTTTGTCGCTGTACAGTTGGGCCAGGATTTTTCTCCACGTCTCCATCTTAAAGTATTAATCGCATCCTGTCCTCAAGAATACCGCCCGCTCACGAACTGGGAAGAAAATAAAGTACAAAACGCGCTTCTTGCAGACCAAATCTCTTCAAAGTACCATTTTTTAGCAATTCCGAATGGCTTTATGTCTTGGTCACCAGCCAAAAGAGAGATAAAAATAGCGCTAACAAGCCAGAAATAGGAAGACATCCCGGAGTTCGAAGTAGCGTGGCCTCTCATTATGTATCCGTGTAATGTGTTTACTTTTTTTACATGCTTTAGTAAATTCCACTCAGTCCCACCAATCCAGCATGGCAGCTTCAGCAATCGAATATTTTTCTTTAGTGTGAGTTTATTTGTTAGTTTTCGTTCCCTTATATCTATTTTTCTACTCATGTTTAGTACCGTAGGCGTGTGGATGTTTGATATAAAATGATGATCACAATAACTCGTGACTTCGGTCACAATACCTTTGAGCGATTCACACAACAAACTGAATACATTACCAGATTACACACTTAAATGTAATGATTTCTGGATAAATCAAAAGTCAATTTATTGCTACTTGCCCAAGTCTATCATGTCCTTGTTTATGCATCATGTTTCCTTATCAATGTGTTAATTAAAGTATTTATTGAGCATTTCATATAAGTTTAATCGCTAATGTAAGCTTCATTAAGTTCTGAAAACGTCGGCATGGGTCGCCCATTATTGCATAAGGGTCACCAAACAAAAAACCTTAACAACTCAAAGTGTTTCGTTTCGCCTCACGCTAGGGTTCTGTTAGTAAAGGTAATCACATGATTTCGAGTGCAATTTGGAATAAATAAGCACGAGTAAATTTTTTCAAAGTCCAACAAAATTGCACGAGCCCGTAAGGCTCGTGCAATTTGTGGTCTTTGAGAAATTAACAAGTGCTTATTTATTCCAAATTGGACGAGAAAAATCATGTGATAACGTATTAATAACATGCATTAAAAGATACGAAATAGCTTATCATAATTATGCAGAAGCAAAGCACGCACATCAAGTGCAAAAGTAATTCATTCAAAGTTGTGCATTCGGTCAAAACAACCGCGCACGATCAAAACAGTAATATACAATGATATTTTCACATCTTTAAGGCGCAAAAAAGTTCAAAGTCTGGCTAAACAGGTTAAGGAATTGTTCTGTCTGTGTCCGAATCACTTTCGATGAAATGGAAACCATGTTTGTTTTTAATTTCGGCGTATAATCGCTAAGTAAAGTGTTTAGCTGGGTCGGCTCGTAAGTTTCGATTTCCTTGGCAATTCCCTTCTTAAAGCACCGCTTTTTCCGAACTGACAACCAAAAAGCAGTGCTTTCACAGTGTTTTCGTTGTTAGAGCTGTTTTTCAGTTCCTGTATTGTTTTTGCGGGGGCGAAAGAAACCTTACTTAAGACGCCGGCTATTGCTTCACTCGCAAATTTTTTAGCTCATGCAAATGTTGCGAAATCCAAGGCTCGCATTTGATTGGCTATCGGCGAGTTTCTTTGCTTATTGACCAATCAGAATGCCTGGTTTGTTACTTTATTTGCACTGAATTAACACTCTTCCGCATTGAATTACAACAATTTGGGTACGAGCGACTGGAAATGGCCGAGGGATCTTGGGACTTATATTTTTATCCCGCTTCCAGCAGTCGCCATATTTAGCGAAGCAACCACTCTCGAGCAGAGGGGCATTTCGTCTGCGGAAGCATTTATTTACTGACGATCAAGATGTGCACTTGAGACAACAAACCTTTAAGTTTTGTCTTAAGATGCTGTATGTGGAGACCGACGATCGTGAGATAATAGGAGGTAGTTTAGAATTTGATGTTATTTTACTTCAACTTTGAAATAAAATTGCGATAAGTTCGAGGTGGCCCCCAAGCTTCAAATCACTTCAAATAACGTCGTCTTTTCTTTCTCTTTGTAGTCACATAAAACACAAGGCTTTAAAAAATGTACCAGCTTCAGGATTGAGTCGCTCTTACTGCGACCTTTGGCGAATTCGTTTTTGGCAGGTTGAGATGGATTTTCCAAGTCATGGCTCACAACTGTCTTTGGCCTTTTTGCCCTCCAAGTCTGTTGTACATGGTATGTAGACATGTGTCTTAACAACGGTTATAGTCTTGCCTCAATCATCCCCGGTTTTATCTTATTTTGTTGCTGTGTTTTGGTGAGAATTTCTTTAAATGCCTTTTTGAGCTTGAAGTGCTGACTAGAGGATAAACTTCGGTAGAACTTATTTATCATATGGGCCCCAAATCCCTCAACACTGTCAGTTCGTTGTTTATTTATTTAGCTTTCGGTCTAACCAGTTCATTTACCTCAAAAAAATGCGTGGGCTTTGTCTCATGAGTTTAAACTGGTGCCGTTTTCATCATGTTCATGTGTTATTCGAAACGAATGGCGTCAGCTTCATTCTGTCTTGTTTATTTCAGTAGAATATTTCTGCCATAAGACATGAATTTTGAGTCGAAGAGTACTATTAAACTCGCAGATTAAAATTATCAAACTTTCTGTGGTTCTTAAATATGAGACGAGTGATGCAACAAATAGATAATTGTTCAAGGGGCTGGAGCTCCTTGTTTCTTTAGAATGTTAACTACAGTATTTCTGTCATATTTAAAAACGAATGTCACGTTTGACTTGCATTTCACTTTGCCAGAAATGTCGTGATCCTTCAATTTTTATTTCTTAATTGAGACTGATGATAAGAATTAACTTTTATGTTCTCTGCTGTTTAGGGAGATGTGATGCGACCCCACTATATATAATTGGTACTATTGACAGAGTGGATAGGTGTGACATTTACTGAGCCTAGCTGGTATTCAAGAGAAGGTAATTGGTACCAGAAGCTTACTACTGGTATAAATGATCAATCTTTTGTTCACTCCTTCCAAGTTGCCTCAACTAGCTTGTGCTATATGCAACTTGTGTCTAAACCTTATTTGCGACTGAAAAATTACCAATAAAGTTTTTGAAAGTTTTTCCTAATTTTATTGGAAAAGAATGTAAGGAGTGATCAGGTGAAATATTGTCATGTTCCTTAAGAGTGCTGAGTTTCTAGTGAGAGCTATAAAATTCTCTAAGTGACTGATATATGATTTGTCTGCCTTAAAATTGGCACAGCCAAACCCCTGGCTAGAAAATATAACTTTCTTTGAACAGGCATTGAAGTCAATGCCCATTTCTGCAGAATATGCAAGGTCAAAGTCCTTTATTGACTAAGTCTCATTTCTCCAAAATCTGCTGGATGTAAATCATCCATTTTCATAAAGAGATCAACAAACCTCTCCACATAAGTTTAATCTGACCTTGTTTAGTCCTGTTCCCAGGAAAAAAAGGCTTTTGGAAATACTTTGTTTTTTATCCTCACTGTTACATATCAGTCCTTCTGTTTCTTTGTTGTTTGGCATGTAATAAGAGTCTTTTCAGACCATTGAATTGTTAGATAACTCTTGGAATTTAACGGGTTGGAGAATAAAGTTGGGAAGAGAGTATATGATTTTGTTGTACAGTTGAAATGATAAGTGAATATGATTTTTATCAGGAAATAATTGATTTATTTAATTATTCATTTCACAACTGGAAGCCCAAACTAGTAGTGGTTTTTAATTCATAATTTCACCACATCATTGACCATATCTGATGATATTTCTGAGACTAATGATTGAAAAGACTTTTTCTTACTCCGTTAAAATCCACAATTATTCATCCATTTCTAACAAGCTCTTTGATCTAAGGCTACCATATCTCTAGTACTAACGTTGTCTTAGTTTTCTTTACTCGAAATTGACCTTGTTTTGTTTTGGTAACCGGCCCCGCCGGTTGTGATTCATGTCAAAAAAAAAAACTTGTGAAACAAAACATAAACTTTTGTAAACTTTAATTTTTCACTAAAATTGAAGTATATTGCAATAGCAGTACAGTTGGAGCTCTAGAAAACGCTCCCAGGAAAGTGAGTACTTCAAATGATCAACGATAACTTGAGATAGCAACGACACGATAAAAGTATACCATCTGATTTATTAGTGCTCCTCGACAGGCCTCTTGCATCGTTCACTAATAACATCATCTACATCGATTGCCCAAACAATTGCAAGACAAGACTCGAATTTTGTTTGTGCAATCTTTTGCTTTTTGAAAATAACTTCCTTCCACACACCACACAACAATTCTAAGACTTTGCCGCTTCCATCTAAGTTACAGAGGGAAAAATGACAAGAAAAGTTGTCTCAAATACTCGATCCATTGTTGTTTTCCGACGTATTTTCCTGCTTCTTTTCTCTCGCGATTCTTAAGCGGAAAACCGACGCAGGCGCATACCAGCGGTTTCTTGCATCAAACTAAAATTTACAGAATATGCTAAACAAAATGCCCTTTTGCTGCTGCCCTGCTGCTTCACTCTCGTAGATGCTGTATAAACGCAATAACTTGTTCCCAAGATCTCTCGACCATTTCCAGTCGCTCGTACTCAAATTGTTGAAGCTTTATACCGTGTTGGTTTTGACGTGATTCGAAAGGGCTGCAGACTAGGAGGATTTGTGTTGATGTTGAGTTACTTTGGTTGTTGGATTTAATGTTTTTGGAGTGTTGATATTGATATTAGCTGTTGAATTTGGACAAATTTTATCGTTGACCGTGGTAGTAAATGTTGATGTTGGCAGCAATTTCATTTGTTGAATTTTACACCATTACGGCTTCCATATTTACGTGATATCATTACTTTTAGGCCTCACGGAAAGATACCCCACCCATGGAAACCGTAACCCCCTGAAATCTCAGACATGCGTAAATTACATTACTTTGTAACACTGCCTGATAAAAGGAACGCGGGCTCATGCCGAGGGTTGCAGATTTGTGTTAATTAATTGTCGGCCAACTCGCTGACGAGAACTCCTGATGCCTCGTAAAAGACCTCACGGCAGCCGGTTTTCTAGTAAAAATCAGCCACCAGCCAAAAAGAAGCAGAGAAAACATGAAGATTATTTTGAAAAAGTTGGAAAAAAAAGCGTCGCGGTGCAAGTTTACTACTTTTTAAGCGAAGAAAAAATCGATCGACTCGAGAGGGGGTGCAAGAGTTTGAGGTCTGAAAACGCCAATCTAAAAGGAACAGTCAAAACCCTACGACGCAGTATAGTGATATTATTTCAGGAGGGAATGGAAATGCAATGACTTGCAAATGTCTAAGAATAATACTGCAGATTGCCTGAGTCACGGATTACGGTGAATGATTTTCTTTCCCATTCTGAATTTTCGGCGGTTGCAACTTGCGCGATTGCTAATGACACTACTTTAAGAGGATTTTAATCATAAACCGATGATACTCCCACCGAACAGAAGCCGAAAAAAAAACTTCACGAAAATAAAGACAAAGTAGTCAATATGGCTGCACGGTCAGTATTTTCAAGCTTTTTCTTGCTTAACTATTTGGAGTGGCGATTAACGCAAGGGAGGTAGTACGCGCACTCACAAGCAAAAAAATTAAACGGACTAGATTCCCTCTAAAGGTTCGTACCTAAGAAAAGAAATGTACAGGCAAGTTAATTTTTTCGGTCAGCAGATCATAAGGACGCGTATCTTTGAGTGTCACACATTATCGAGAGTTTTACGAGTGAAGTTTTGAGGTTTGTATTAGAAGTTTTTATTAACATGAACAAAATTATCTGCGTACGGACCACCGTGGAAACACAATAGTTTCAATTATTCAACCTTGCAATTGTGATAACAATGTTTTTGCCAAATTTAAACTAAACATTCTAAATACACCTGGTCGATAAGATTTCTGGTAGGACATTTTTACTTTGTATTCTATGTTTCAATACTCTATCATGTGAAATCAGTTACATTTAACTAATTCTTATTGCATCACCTTTTCATAATTTCAGTATTTGTAAAAGGAAGGAACATCCAATTGAAAAAGGACGTGTTGAGGCTTCAAACTCAACTTAAAAAGTGTAAAAAAAATCTGACGTCTACTGAAAAAAAGGAAAAACAAGTCAGACACAAGCTAAGGGGAACAAGATCTGCTTCCTCAAAGCTAAAACAGAAATTAGAGGGCAACAGTGAAATTGCCAAAAAGGGGTATTCCCTTTTTGAGACATTTGCTCATGGTCACAATGGACACAACCAAAGGACCTTGATGTTTATGACTTGTGTCAGATACATGCAACATGCATCTTTGTTATCATATCAAAAGACACCTGTAGCATTACATCTGATTTTCAATATTTTGTTCAATTGTAGCCCCCCAACAAACTTCATTGTCTCCCCAACTACACTTTGTGACTGGAATGTTCTCTTAGGTGAGGCGACAAACTAATTTTACGCAAGCGCTTTTCAAATTCCAAGTATGATTTTCATCTCTGGAGCGATGACTCCCACAAAGGAGGAGAGGAGAGGCACGTAGTGGGTGTTCACACCTGCTGTCCTTTAGAGAGCAAGCCACGAGCTTATGTCTGATGTATATTATCATGTTGTAAAAAAAGATTATGATATTACCAATGTTTCAAGGTTGGTTGGGGACAATGCCTCTACCCAAAAGGGAAAAGTAAATGGTCTTTTAGCTAACAATGCCAGAATTTTTGGAAAAGAGATGTTTTTTGTAGGATGCTACCCACATGTACTAAACATTATGCTGAGAAGAATGTGCCAGGCCAGGTTTGGGGCCAAGGGTGACATGAGCAACCCCCATGTTTTACAATTACTCTATAAAATATCTTGGCTCCATCATGAGCATCCAAGCCAATACAAAGTTATGTATGTTTCTCTTGGTATTCTAAGTAAGGGGGCCACCCCTTCCCCAGACATTCACAGACACAAGGTGGACATATTATCATGAAACTCTCCAGTGGTATCTTAAGTATGGAAAAGCTTGTTTACAGCTCGCTGAGTGTCTCCTTGAAAGATTGCCAAAATCAGATAGCCACCAGACTATTTGGCAAGATGTTATTAAGCTGAGCTCCAGTCCTATGATTCAAGTTGAAATCAAGTTTTTGTTTGAATTCCTCAATAAGTTTATCATCCCATCTCTGAATACATCCCAAGCTAGTGACACAGAACTTAGATTCTCCAGTGGTTACCTAGCAAGGTTATGGCCAGTAGCTGTTCTGAAGCACCATGAAACTTTAGGTAAAATGTTGATGTCTCCTGCAGAATATTTTCCTTTAACATCACAACAGGTGAAGATGTCATTGAAGGACCCAGCAGCTATCAACCATTTTCACAAACAAGTGCAGAGGCTAATGTTACAAGAGTGGTTAACTTTTCCCAAGTTGTTTGGAATGGGAGCTGATCAGAGGTACCAAAGTCCTTTCTGGCATTCAGTTTTAAAGCTTCTTGAAATTCCAGTCAGATCTGGAAATCAACAAGAAAAGTCAGTGAATAATCTCTTTCATGTACATGGACAGAACATTCTCACATTGGTGTCTGAGGATAGAGTTGGATTGATTAAATGGGCCACTCTTTGGAAATTGATGGAACCACAATTGCTCAGTGAGATCAAAGAAGTTGCTTCATCACCACACAGCTCACTCATAAGGAAAGAAGCCACTCCAAACCTGTTTGAGTTCTATGCCAAGCACATTTTCAGTCTTCCAGTTAACAATGTTCTTGCTGAAAGACAGTTCAACCTTTCTTAACTGTATCTTAATGATAACATGTCAGAGATATCAAAACAGGCCTCAATCACATTTGTTGAAAATATTCTGCATAGTGGAAAAACCAACACCGGAACCACAGAAGCGGCATGTGAAATTCACGAAGAAAGAATGAAAGAATATACCCAAATGCTCACCACAGACGTTTTGCAAGAGGCAAGAAAGAACTTAAACAAGATTAGAGAAAACTGCACACATGGGCCACTTACTGCAAAGGATGTTTACCCTAGAGCTTGGGTAGAAAAGAAAGTAAACAACAACTTACCAGAAACAATTCAGTCATTAAAAGCAGATGGTCGCAAACTTAAACTTTGGAAGGCTTCTGCCAAGGGAACATCTGCACTGGAGGGACAGAGGTTATTCAACCCAACAG